GGGCTGGGCAGGGGAGTGTCCTGGGGGGAAAAGGGGGGTTGGTTTTTAATATGTATAATCAGGAGGTTTCCAGGTCGGTGTTTCAGAGCAGGCCCGCCCAAATGTTGCTCCTTTTACCTCAGCGGGAAACTTGTTTCTGTGTCAGTTTGGTCTGTGGCAGTGCCGGGGGAGCTGCGGTGTGTGAGGGGCTCACAGGGCAGGTCATGAGCCACTATTTGGTTCTGCAGAGCCCGATTCCTGTTCCAAGCCGTGCACACAGCAAGTACTTCCAGGACCAGGCTCTTCTGTGCCTGGAGCTCACAGGTGAGGGTCTTGGCAGGGCCCTCAGGGAAGTTACAGCCGTGTCGGGATTGGAACAGGAAGGGAAAGGCAACGAAAACAGCTACATGCTGTTAAAAAAGGTGCACCAGGCAGTTGGGAAGTCGGGAAGAAGTTGTCAGCAGCCATATCGTTGCAGCTGGGGATCTGGGATGGTTCCAACAGTCCCTTATATTTTTGGAATCAGCTCTTCTCTTAGTAATGGGTGCATTGTGTATGTTCTCTAATTACTTTTTCTTCTCATAGCAGCTTTTGTTACAAAGCCACTCTCCTCCTATAACATTATGATTGAGTTCCATTTGTCACAGTGTGTTATTTTACACATGTTGTGTTAGCAACCATGTTTTATAACCAGCTTTTTGTTTTCCTCCCAGTCTTAGATGAAAAATGGCTTCCCAAGAGGAAACACAAGCTCAGCCCTTTGCAGACTTCTTTGATGAAGATGAAGCTGAACAATCTTTCCTGTTGTCCAAGCCCACTTGCTTAATTATACTTGGAAAGCCAGTAAGATGTCTGATAGAAGTTTTTTTCTTCTGATATTCTACTGACAATTCTACTTTTCCTTTCAAATGTTAGTTTTGTGGTGCAACCAAAAAGATCAAAGACCTACTTTTTTATCTTTTCCATTTTGCAAATCCTGTGGAGTGTGGTAAAGATTCTGGTCTCTTTTAATGAGGCCCATTTTTGGTCTAAGTGACGAATGAATTACAATTAAAAGTGTTATTACTGTACTTAAAAGTCACAAGTTGCTCCAAAAGTTTCTTCTCTTTTCACACTGGCAACTGGGTTGTCCCCATGTTATTTCAGTATTCTAACTTTTAAAAAACTTGACAGATTGAAGATAAGTAGGCAGAAAAGAAACTTCAGAGCATTTATCTTATTTAAGATAGTTCATTTAGGCTAAAAGCATAGAGCCATTAAAGCAAAACCAAATTATATATATTCTTATCACACATATAAGATGTAAGGTATGACTAGGCTGGAGTGTTTGCTGATAGACTGGGAGTCTGTTACCTGGGAGTGTGATTTATTTGTAACCACAAAATAAATCTGCTTTTTAATCTGCTTTTTCACTGCTTTTAAATCACAAAATGTATCTGGGGTAAACAGGCTGTCAAATAAAGGTCTTCTTGTGTGCCCTTAGAAAAAAGGCATAATCCTAAGGGTAGAAGATGGGGAGTTTTGCCAAATCCCATTCAAGTAGCTGTACTTAGAGGCCTCAGCACTCCTGGTTATGTTGGTTCCTCAGCATTCATGGAAGTGAGAAACTAAACATTTTGTCAGTATCTAAACCAGGTTTGTGGGCTAACAGAGCTGGTGTCTAAATGGTTGTTCTTTTAGTCAAAGAATAACATCCCTGTGGATCTTAGAAGCAGCTGAACAGGTTTGCATCAACATTTGCTTCAAGACTGAAGAAGGAATTTGTGGGCAAATCATAGCTGAGTTTTAAACAGAGTTACTCAGAGACAAAATCAGTGTAATTATTTAGGAAATAATTCACTGCAGGTGATAATCACAGTATAATAGCAATGCTGGGCAGGATAAAATAGAGGAGGGTATTAAAGAGTGTGTTTGCCCAGTGCACAACTCAGAGGCCCTAATCCTGATGATTTCTCATACAAAAATGTGTTCTTTACTGTGTGATATGGGGGGTTTGTTTGGTTTTATTTGGTTTTCCCTCCTTCTGTTTTTCTTTTAAATGTGTATTTTTCATTTTAAGGGTTCTGGAAAGAAAACCTTAGCTAGAAAACTAGCACAAGAATGGAAATGGATTTTCATAGAAGGTAAATATATACATATGCATGTAGCCTGTCTATCTGGAACTCTCTATAAACATATGCTCTATCTGGAACATTGCATTGGCTCTGTAGTATCTTTTGGTTTAGAATATCCTCACTGTAATTCAAAATCAAGTGTTTCCAATTGCAGTAAAGACTACTGACCAGGACCAAGTAACCATTTTGCCAGAAATGCAATTGCTGAAAAACGACCTTTTAGTTATAAAGAGGCTTTGAAAATAACTTTTTTTTTTTTTTTTCCCCAGAAGGGGTTACATGTGACACATAAAAATCAAGTTCTATCCCAAATCCTCTGAGGTGATTCCAGTGACCATGCTTGTTCACTTGCAGGCAACTCAGCCAACTACAAAGAGCAGAGAGATTTGCCAAAGCAGAGGGTGAAAATTTAGACAGATCTTTCCTTTCTGTTTGTGCAGTGCCTAATAGAAGGGGCGATATATCCCAGGAAGCAGAAGTGGAACTTTTATACCAGCATAAGTGATAATGGAAGGAATGGGAGCTGGCACTTGAAAATTTCTCAAACAAAAATATCTGATGGCTTATTCCAGATGTAGTTAATTTATCCCAACATGCATTTACTAGAATACAAGATACAATTTCATTTTCTAAAGCTATCCAGCTTCATTTCTGACAGTCTCATCAAAGACTTGAAGATCTGTGGAGTAAAACCTGTTGTAAACAACATTATCTTATTCCCTATCAACTCATCACTAGAGACTGGTTTTCATTTCCAGGCATCACAGCAAGAAAGTAGGTTTCTACAAAAAGAATTAAGTATCTGGCAGTTCTTTTGCACTAATATTGTCAAAAATGACTAAATAATTTAAAAATCTGTAATATTTTTTAAAGTCCCAGAATTGTTTTTTGTAGCCATGACACTACAGTTTATGAATTTTAATTAATTCACTTAAATTTTATGAAAAAAAAAAGAAGATAACTTCTCCATAGATTGATATTACCAGTTAGAAGGGTAATAAAATCTTTTTAAGTAGAAGAAAAGGAAGCACATAATAACCTGAACTATGAAGCAGTTTTTTGAGTGCCTCTTTGGGGACACCAAACAGTAAATCTGAATTTATGGTACATATATGTGTGCAGTTGTTCTGATTATGAACTAAGTCTTTATATATTGACTTTCGTTACATTTTATCTTTTAAATGTGCCCCCTGGTATTTTTTATTGCTCTAATAAAAGCCTCCAGTGGATGGTGAAACACTTCATATTCCTGTAAATACACAGGTTTTTTTATCAAATGAGGTATCTTTATTTTGAAGATTCAGAGTTATAATATGATAAAGTTCAGTTTTAATTAAATGTGCTTTTTAAAATAATGCAAACATAGAATTTTTAATTCATAGGATTGAATATCAAAAAGTAATGCTTGGTCCAAATATTAGATCAGACAAAAATCAGAAGGGACCTTAGGAAAGTGCTTAAGCCAGTCCACACTGTTAAATGTATCTAAACCATTTAGACAAATGTTTATCAAATTTTATTTTTAAATCTCTAGAAAGTCTATCCCTCTAACACAATCTTTGCCATTAGAAAGTTTTTCTTAAAGACTGATGTAAATCTCTCTTATTGCATTTTTGTGCCTTATTTTTAGTAGCTTCAGAGAATTAGTCTTTTTTTTTTCTGTTGCTCATGGTATTTCTTTTCCTCTTTTGTCTAGTGTACACACACACACACTTCCCTTCAGCTTTTGTAATAGCTTTTTGGTTTAATATTCTGTATCCAAAAAGGAAAAGAAATTCAACATGCAGAAACATGAGTATTACAGCTGAGAAAGGACCTCCAGAGGTCACTCAGTGCAACTTTCCACTCAAAGCAGGGCCAACTAGAGAAGGTTCCTCAGGGCTGTGTCCAGTTGAGTCTGGAATATCTCCAAGGATGGAGACCTCACCACCTCTCTGGGCAACATTTTTCAATGTTTGACCACCTTTGTGATGAAAAACTGCTTCCTGTGTTTGTTGCTTCATGTCCTGTCTGCCCAATAAGTAGCTTTACACAGTGGTAAGAGCTGTCCTGGTCTCTCCAGGCTGAACAAGGCCACTTCTTTTGGCTTCTCCCAGTGCATTCAACACTTTTAATTCCCTTGGTGCTCTGCACTGCACTGAAATGTATCAATCTCTGACTTACACTCTGTTATTTATTTTAAAAATAATCAAAGTTAGAGAGTTATTAAATAGGAAAGTGTTCATAGCCTTTTTAATTTGACAAACTTATCCAAAGACTGGGTCAATCCTCATAAATACAACAGGGCTGGGGTGTGTGCACAGGGCTGATTTTCAGATGTCTTACTAGTCATGACTAGGATCAGTCATTACCAGGATCATTCTGTGCTATCACTGTCCACAGGGGTAGAGGGGAGGCCTTTGAATTTAGAGGTGTCAAATTTAGTATTTATGTAATTTTAGATAATTAGACTATGTAAGGAGTAGGTTTTAAAAGGGCTTTTAAAAAAGGCCTTAAAACCCTTTTTTAAAAAACCCTTTAGACACAACCCTTGTGTGTGTCCAAACAGGTCTTTTTTCTAAAACTTTGTTTTAAAATTTGGGAAGGGTTTGAGGTCAAATACTCACATCTGGATTATGCAGCAGTAATGCTGATAAATCAGTAGTTAAAATAATCCTGCAAGGGTGCTGGTGTGAGTTTATCTGCAGTATATATTGAGCTAAATAGTAAGGGAAAACATCTATCCAGACATTGCCAGAAGACACCAAGCTCTGGGTGGACAAAATCTAATAATGGCCCCAAGTATAATGGTTGTTCATACAAAAATAGTCTGTTTGCTTGGAGCACAGAGACACACGCGTGTGTGTGTGTGTGTGTGAGTGTGTGTATCTCTACATGTACATGTCTGTACAGAAAGTATTTCTTATTAATTATTTTAAATCTATTCTGTTTGTTGTGCTTTCTCAGCTTCAGAAGTAATTCAAACCAATATTAAAGAAGAAACAGAATATGGGCTTAAGGTAAAGATCTAGTCTTCTAGGAAGTTTGGTTACATTCTTGACAAAGATATGACTTGTGGTTTTCATTTTATCTTAGTGTCAAGAATTGCTTCTTCAAGGTCAAAGTATTTCTGAAGAACTGGTCACAGAAATGATTCTGAAAAAGCTTGAGTCACCAGAAGTTGCTCATTTTGGTAAATATGTTTATAGCCTAAACTTCTTAGAATGAGCTAGCTTTAAGTTTGACACACTTTGCATCCACTGCTGCTCAAAGACTGCTTTTTTGTCTATTGGAGGGAGGGCATCTTTTCTCTTCAGGTCGTGGAATATCTGTAAACTGAGAGTGGAGTTAGGGGTTAATTCAAACAATATAGGAGATCAGAAAGTGTCTTACATATCCTATGTTCTCTTCATTTTGAGAAAATTAATTAGCCCCAAATTTTTAGTGTTGCTGTGACTCTGATTTGAAACTAGTATCTGGTTAGAAAAATTTGAGGATTTAAAATACAGGTATTTTTTGTCAGGAACACCTCTATGAACAACAACAACAAAACTCCACCAGCAAAAATCTTGTAAACATTTAAAAATATGACAAACAAAGTATTTAAAATACAAAGTCTTACAGTCTTTTTTTTTCTTACAGCACTGTTTATTCCCTTTGCATTTTGTCACTGAGATGAGAATAGTATTGGTAGTGGTCATCTTTTTGATGAAAGATGATGTTAATTGAGGCTGTTAAGACTAGTGCTGCAGATCTTGCTAGAGTCTAAACCTGTTTTCCTGAAGAGAAAACAAATACACTGCTAAGTGGAAGGAAAGTGAAAGAAATGGAGTTTCTTTTTCTGATGCTGACTTGTATTTCAGTTTTCCATCCCAGGAGAGACACAGATATAGTCCCAAGAAAATCTTATGTTTCTAGTGCTCTGAAAACTAGCAGGCTTCTGTAAGCTTTCAGTTGCCATGGTTTTTGTTCCTTCCCCAGTCCAAGACTCAAAAGTTTTGCAAAAGATGCAGCCTTACCTGGTGAAAGCAAGCTTTGGAAACAGTAGGCAAAGAGAAATAGGGAAGAAATGGACAAAAAAAAAAAAGGAGGTGGTGTGCAATTCAAAATTTGAGCAGCAAAAATGCCAGTCTGTTACTCAATATGTCAGGACTTTAATAAAAGCATGAAAAGGCCTCTGTGTCATCTGAGATACCCTCAGTGAGTCAGCCTGATGAGGAATGCCTGGGATGTGTGTATCATAGAGGACCTAGAGACTGTAAACATGACTATAAACTGATTAAAGTTTGGTTCTTGTAGCCAAGCCATTTTCTGCATTACAGACACAAGGAACAGAATAACCTACATTCTCTCTATTTTTCCTACCAACCAGAACTCATCTCCAAAAACATTTTTTGAAGTATTTTCTAGTTCTCATAACTTTTTTGTTTAGCAACTAGTATCTTAATATAATCCTTGGAAAGGTTAAGTAGGCTTTCAACAGGAACTAATCAGTCAGTTCACTATTAATTATTCATTAAAGATTTTAGAAACAGTGTTGTATGAGAGGCTGAGTCTTTTAGTCTTCTACTTTAAGTGTTTGTTTTTAACATTGTAAAATACAATGTTAGACAGTTTCTAAACAGTACACACAACAAGGAATACTTTTCAATTATATTTCAGTTCAGTCATATTCTTCCAACTTAAATAATAAACATGTATTATCTCAGAATCATAGACTGTCTTGGCTTGGAAGGGACTTCAAAAGATCCTCTAGTCCAGCCCCCCTGCAGTCACAGGGACCTTCTTAACTAGATCAGGTTGCTCAGAGCTTCCTCAAGCCTGACCTTGAATGTCTCCAGGTATGGGGCCTCCACCACCTCTCTGGGCAACTCGTCCCAGTATCTCACCACCCTCATGGTAAAGAACTACTTCCTGATACCCAATTTGAATCTGCTCTGCTCCAGTTAAAGTCCATTGCCCCTTGTCCTCTCACTCCCTGCCCCTCCCCAGCTTTCCTGGAGCCCCTTCAGGCACTGGAAGGTGCTCTAAGGTCTCCCTGGAGCTTTCTCTTCCCCAGGCTGAACACCCCAACTCTCCCAGCCTGGCTCCAGAGCAGAGCTGCTCCAGCCCTTTGTTTATTTTTGCTGCCCTCCTCTGGACACACTCCAACAGGTCCACAACCTCCTTGTGCTAGCGGCTCCAGAGCTGGACACAGAACTCCAGGTGAGGTCTCACTAGGGCAGAGCAGAGGGGCAGAATCACCTCTCAATCTGCTGGCCACACTTCTTTCGATGCAGCCCAGGATGTGCTTGGCCTTCAGGGCTGCAGCTGCACACTGGTGGATCATGTCCAGCTCTTGATCCATTAGGACGCCCAGATCTTTATCCACAGGGCTGCTCTCTAGCATGTCTTCCCCCAGCCTATATTCACATCTCTGGTTACTCAGGTGCAGGACCCTGCACTTGGCCTTGTTGAACCTCAGGGGGTTCACCTGGGCCCACTTCTCCAGCTTGTCCAGGTCCCTCTGGATAACATCCCCTCCCTCTGGCATATCGACCATTGGACATTTGGACTTGATGGTCTTGAAGATCTTTTCCAACCTTGATGATTCTATGATGATATGACCACACCACCCAGCTTGGTGTCATGTATTATGCTGGAGACTGACGTGTCAGATATTCAAGAGTGCTAAAGCAAATGATGATGTCTAAAATTGAAAGTCACTAAAAACAGATGTGGGCTTTTTTTGACTTCTGAAGGTGGTCAGATATGAAGCTTCTAAGCTGCTTCTTGAAATAAACTCTTTTTAAAGTAACAGACCCTGGAAAATAACAAGCTTATTTGTATTTTAAGGTTTTGTAGGTAAGAAAATACAGAATTATAACCTCTATTGTAGCTGATATGCTTGCTTTTTAAAAAATAGACCAAGAAACAAAAAACTTGTTCATATCATGTTTACCTGAATAATATTTGCACAGGAAAAACCCATGTCACTGTCCCAGGGGTAAACTGCTCAATTAGCATGATTGAAATCAAATCAGGACCAAAGTTGTTTATTGATTGATTAATGGCAAGTAATTAACTGGCAATCAGTGAACTGGCTGTCAGTGAAGAAGTCACTCTTCACTGTTGTGTCAGTTGTTGACACAGTGTTGTGTCAGCCACACAACAGACAAACCACAGCCTCCAACAGGGTAGCTGCCCTGCCAGCAGATCAAACCTGGTTAGGCTGCTGTTCCTTTACCTGGTTCTCCCTCTAAGCTCTCTTCCCCCAGTCACAAATGTTAATGCTTCTTTTCAAGATGGATGCTTCTCTCCTCAAAAATTTCTTGGCAATCCCCTGGTTACTGTCTGATCTGGTTGCTGGTTGCTTGAGGTGAACTTCATCATTGTCTGTCTCCCCACGAGGTTATTGGTTTAGGGGCAAGCAGCCTCTCAGGAAACAAACAGTTTGGGATGATCTTTTCCTGTGTTACACTCCTGTTCCTCTCACATCAGCAGGTTATCCCTCAGATCTCACACAGGTTATCTGGGATGTGTTAAGAAGCAGAACCTGCACCAACTCCCCACATCTCACTACCAGTCAGAATTCCCTGAAGGCATCAACAACTTAGAATCCAGAATTTTCATTTCCTAGGGGAATGACTATACACTATGCTCTCTCTTGCTTCTCTTCTGGTATAATTTTTTGCATGTATGGATGATAGCTCCCCAAAGAAGGAGGAGTCTTCAGTCCTAATACCTCTGGCAAAGACTGCTGCTGTGGTTTTGTGCTGCACAGACTGGAATTTTAATGTTATATAAAACTCTAAGCATTTGGAGCATGCACCATATTCTCTAAGGAAATATTCTCATTATCAGATTGAAAAAATCTACATGTTTCCTCTTTATTCTCTCATTCTGGCCTCGAGAATGTTGAGTTCCTTGCCACACACACACCAGTCCTTACTGCACTGCCTGCAGTCATTGCTAATGACAGTATTGTCCTAGGAGCCTGAAGTGGGGCTGAGCACTCTAAGGCTAGGAAAAGGGTCTTATTACCACTGTGCTTGTCATATAGAGTCAGTGTCTGTTTGCCAAAAAGACTCAGCACTGGGAGCCCGGGTGAATCAATGCTTGCTAAGTCAGCTGCCTCAGGATGGACACTGTCCATGGTGCTTCCTGTTGAGAGGATCTAAGTTCCAGGAGCACTGGGTATCCCAAAGAGTTCAGGCTCCCTTTAGTGTGCATAGAAGCAAAGACCTTTAAAGGTTGTATAAAAAGCCTAGATTCCTAGTTTAAATGCTTTGCATAATGGAGTGGCTACTTTACAGTCTGTAAGTGGCAAAAATGGGCACTAAATACTTGTTACTTCTCAGGTGCTACAGTGCCTGAGCTGTCTACAGGTGGTTTGATCATGATCTTTACTGTCTAAGTATTTCTTATATTTCTTCACTGAGTAAATAAACTCTGAGAGTCCTACATTAAGCTGAAAACACCCTGTTTTGTCTGTGTTTCATCTGAAGTAGACACAGGTACACATTTTATTGTGTTATGTCATGTACACGGTGTAAAGTTGTGCTACTAAATAAATGTACTGTTTAAAGGGGATGAGGATAACTAGTCCTTTGTTTGACATAACCTTCTAAAAGAAGTATTTCTTACCATGTCTTTGGCAGGTTATATTCTCAGTGGATTTCCTTCTCTCTCAGAGGAATACATGACTATTCCACAGCAAATAGAGAAAATTAAAAACCTAAAGTTAAAACCAGATTTTCTGATTAACATTAAGGTAATGTCACCTTCAGTTACTTGAGAGTCATTTTCCTAATTACTACTAGACTCATATGCTGCATAAGCAAAAGATGATCTTTTCCCCTGTGCATTGGAGTTGAGTATTTACTGAGGAATAATGAATTGTTTTGCTTTATATTAGGCTGGAGTTACACTAGTTTGTGCCAGTATAAGCATTGCTCGTGTAAAATAGTGAACGTTAGCTGGAGCTTCAGTGGCAGTTTCAGTCCTTGTACATCTACCAATTAGAAGGGACAAGTTTTCAAGAAAATGAAACTTTTAATAACACTATTATTATGGGATTTTGCATACGTGTGCATCTGCCATTGGTGTCCTTCAAGAAAAAAAACATTTCATATGTGGAAGTGAGCAAGCAAATAGTTTTATTTTTTATTCACTAGTTGGAAAATGCTTCTTAGTCATTAGTAATGCATCTCATTTACAAATCTCAATTTCTTCCTGAGTAGTGATGTGACATACCAGATATTTTTACATAAGTGACTCTGGTATAGCCAAAGAAACATAAGTCATTGTCAGTGTAGGATTAAGAGGACTTTCTCAATGTAACTTCAAAGAATGGACTCGCTGGCTACATCCATATTAGTAAATAAAACAAGGTCAGAGCAACTCTTCAGACACCAAGCCAGCTGCTCTGGCAGAGCACAGATAACCTGCCTGCCTAGTCAGGATGGGGTGGCTGTGTCCAGGCTCTGTGCCATTCTCCAGATGGTGCTCAGCTTTCACCAGGGAAATTACTAGCTGGCCCACACCAAACTTGGCCAGACTCCTTGCAGACACAGTAATAGTATGTGTAACCATGAACTAGGGCGTAGGCCCTTCCTCGTGCAATGTTTTCTTTCTTATCAGCTGGATTATTTCTATCTTTTATTCTGAGTGTGCAGAGAGAGCTGCTGAGGCCAGTCTGAAGAATCAGCCTCTGGTGTTGTGCTCCATTCTCACTGCATTTTGATTCTAGTTGTCACATCTCTGTGGTTTGTCAGAGGCTGAACTTCAGTGCAAGGACCTAGTCTGCCACTTCGTCAGATTGAAGTCTATGGTTTTTTTAATTCCATACTGATGGGACTTAATTTATTTGACCATGCATAATGAAAATTTGAGAATGCCTACTTCAAACCTTTTTTTCTGTACTTATGGAAAGATTTTCAAACATCAGAGACATGTATTTTTGTGCTGCTTTTCAGGCCGTTTTAAGTTTTTCAGCTACAGAAAATCAATCTTAGTTTTAATACTAGATTGTGAGAAACATGAGGAAGGACTTCTTTCCTGTGAGGGTGACAGAGCCCTGGGACAGGCTGCCCAGAGAGGCTGTGGAGTCTCCTTCTCTGGAGACTTTCAAGACCTGTCTGGATGCCTTTCTGAGTGACCTGCCCTAGTTGTTTGGTTTTATTGGTCCTGCTCTGGCAGGGGGGGTTGGACTTGATCTTTGGAGGTCCCTCCCAGCCCCTAAGACTCTTTGATTCTATGAAATCCCATTTCTTGAGAGTGTATGTTAAGTAGTTTTATGTGCAGCAGAACAGATGGCAGAGTGATTCTAACTAGAAAGAAAACAGAACTCTTCTTGTAGTTACATCATCTTCTCCTCTGGGAAGACAGATTAGGCTGAGTGCTCATTAAAACTCCTTACCCCAAAGTCAAATTAATAATTTTGCCTTTGATTTCAGTGTGTTTGAGCTATTTTCACAGATATGTCAAAATTGTAACCATTTCATTACATCAAAAAAAAAGGGAGAAGAGAAATTCTAGATAACTCTGGCAATAACAAAATGCTGTCATTAGCAGACCAATTTAGAGACACTATGTCTCTCCAGGGAAAAGATCCTAAGAGGTACCTTAGAAAAAAGAATAATATCTGATCAGGTTACTCAAGCAGAAGCTGCCTTTCCTAAACCCATGCTGACTGAGCCTGATCACCTGGTTGTCTTTGATGGCACTTAAGATGATCTGCTCCATAAGCTTCCCTGGCACTGAGGTCAGGCTGACAGGTCTGTGGTTCCCCAGATTCTCCTTCCAGCCCTTCCTGTAGACAGGCCTCACATTTGCTAACCTCCAGTCAACTGGGACCTGTTGCTCAGGTCAAAACCACTTTGGCATTAACAGCAGAAGCAACCAGAAGCTTGTCTGCAGGATACTTTTATCCATAAACTCCACCTGCGCTTGTTACAGAACAAGGTATAATTGGCATGGTAAAATGTGGATGGGGAAAAACTCTTTCTTCAATGTTTGCTTCTTTTGAAAATTGTGGCTTTGCACAGAATGTTATTGGAGAAGTTTATCAATTCAAATACTGGCTCCTACCACCCCGTTCTGCAGTCTCAGGAAAAGTATAGCAGTACAATAAACACATGATTTCCTTTTAATTATTCCTTGCTAGTGTCCAGACTATGACTTATGCCAAAGAATATCAGGACAAAGGCAACACCCTGTTACAGGGCATGTATATCAAAGGGAGCAGTGGGATCCTGACTTTATTGAAAAGCATAAGAAAAAGAAAAGTCAGGATGAAGAAGAGAATGAAGAGGAAGAGGAAGAGCAGGAAGAAGAAGAAGAAGACGAAGAAGAGGTAAATATTGCTAATTTCTAACCAGGGCAAATATTATGATGTACTCTAGCCAAAGCAGAACAAATTCCAATATTCTAAAATATCACCATACTATATAATTAATTAACTTTGATGAACTCTAATCTTAATTCAGTTTCTCTTCTGCCTTAAGAGATGTGGGATAATACTTAAATAATGGGTTTAAATTACAGCAAATGGTGATTATTGTCTATCTTAACCTCGATTCAGTCTCTAACTTAGAAGTTACTGAGCTGTTTCTTGTCCTAAGTTGAAAGGGTGTATCAGAATAGTGACTTTCTACTGTCTGTTTGTTGGTCTAAATAAATAAAAGAGTTCTTAATTTTTGCTTATTGTAGCAAGTTTTGCTAGTATTTGCAGGATACCAGCTTGTTTTCTGGTTTTGGTGATAGAAAAGTACAAATGGATTCTCTTCTTTTTCATGAAGGTATTCATTTGGAATTCAGGCTGAATTGTTCTGGTTTAAATGATCAACAGAGACTTCTCAGTGCAGGTTCTGGGCACGTTCCTCTCAGTGTGCAGGAACTACATTTCATCAGGGCAGACTCATGGTCAGCAGTCACTGGACTAATAATACTCATTGGAATTCTTTGGAAAGCTAATTTATTTACCTTTAAGGAAAGGTAAAAATTAGTTTAGTACATAATTTTGTTTCTGAAATATGTAACTTTCATTCTGCAGACTGAAGAAGACCCACTTAAGATGTCAGGATTTTTGCAACAATTAGTGCAGAGGCCTGAAGATATTCTTGAAAATGCAGAGGAAAGAGTTGAAATGTATAAGGATAGAATGCTTCATCCTTTAGAAGTAAGAAAAATAAAAAAAATATGTTTATGCATTCCAAAAGACTTTTACAAATACCTTCTGCTTGTTGCTTTTTTTGGGGAAGTGTTGTGTGGAGATGGGCACAAGGCAGGCTCCATCCCCAAGTTCTGAAAGTCCTATTACAACCAATGGTAGAAAGTTGCCATCTGTGGGTGGTGTTTCTGCCCTGAAGTCAAGATAAAGTCATGGAATTTACAAGTGAAGCCAAACCTGCCACCACAGATGTTTCTTTAATATAGGAAGGGAATTATTTGACTGGCCCATCACCATTCCCAGAGCCCACTCTTGCATGCAATCCCATAGGAAATCTGCTCTGTGCATCCATTGCCTTGCACTCCAATCAATTCCCTTTCTCACCTCCTTTACTGCCTGCAGATTCATATACCCAACAATTAGCCCATCAGTTTATTATCTGTTTCATTTCTGCAGCTGTGACATTCTTTTCTTCTTTCCTTCTTGTCTTCATGAAAGTTGGATGTACCATGTTGTTGTGTTTGGGGTTTTTTTCTTTTCTTTTTCTTTCCCAGAGAAAACCCAAACAAGACCAAAGAAATAATTATTTCTTTTCTTTTTTCTTGTATTCATTTATTTGTTTAACCTCCTGGTACAAGCAACTGCAAAAGCCTCATGCTTGCTGTGCACTTAACAATTACTTCTTATTTATGCCCTTCAGTTTCCCTATGGATTATATACACCTAGAGATAAAATTGTGTAAAACTGGTATAATGTTCTTTCCTAAAGTGACAAACTTGCTACTGATGTGAAGAGGAAGGCAAAAAATGTGTTATCTATCATCACTGTACAATCTCACGTGGATTTCTCATAAGGAAACTGATGGCAAGTTGATTGGATTAAATTGCTTCAAAATATACAGCAAACTTGAACACTTTCAACACATTCCACTGGTTGGTAGGTCTTCCTTAGGCTTCACTGGTGATGGATGTGTCAGTGAGCACACTTAGTGGTCCATGGATACATTAAAGGACATAGGGATCTATCATTGAGATGATAACACTGAGAAAAAAACCAAATGTATAATATGGGCAGGTAGAGTGTGGCCAGGAGGTGGAGAGAGGTCATTTTCCCCCTCTGCTCTGCTCTAGTGAGGCCACATCTGGAGAACTGTGGCCTCAGTTCAAGACAGACTGGGCTTCCCAGTTCAAGAGACAGGGTACTGCTGGAGAGAGTCCAGGAGAAGGTGACAAAGATGACTGGGGGGTTGGAGCATCTCCCTGCTGAGGAAAGGCTGAGGGAGCTGGGGCTGCTCAGCCTGGAGAAGAGAAGGCTGAGGGGAGACCTGATCACTGCCTACACGTGTCTGAGGGTGGGTGCAGGAGGATGGAGCCAGACTCTGCTCAGCAGTGCCCAGGGACAGGGCGAGGGGCAACGGGCACCAGCTGGAACATGGGAAGTGCCCCTGAAAGGTGGGGAGAAACTTCTTGGCTGTGAGGGTGACAGAGCCCTGGGACAGGCTGCCCAGGGGGCTGTGGAGTCCCCTTCTCTGGAGAGATTCACCCCTGGATGCAGCCCTGTGGGATGGGCTCCAGGGGGTCCTGCTGGAGTGGGGGTTGGACTGGATGGGCCCTGGAGGTCCCTTCCAGCCCTGACAGTTCTGTAGTGCTGTGATCCTATGAGCAGTACAATGAACTTTGGTTTTGCTGAAGTCCACAGGAACTTGGTCTTTGATATGAATAGGAACAGAATGAGCTTCAACGTCACTATCTGGTTAACTCTGCTCCATTGAGGAGGGTGTCTTTGTTCTTACACAGGTCTGGATGGCTGAGCAGGATCGTGAATATCTCATTGAACTGGATGGAAATCAGCCACTAGATGATCTCTTTTCAGTAAGTAAGCTATGCACCAACTTCATTAACCTCCACTAGGAAATCATGGCTCAATTATGTGGATTGTTTTGTTTTTGAAGTTGTTGGCAAAATTATAAGTTGTGGTTAAATTGATTTAATTACAAATTACAAACTTTGCTACCAAGAGTAGTTCTATGGGGGAAAAAACCCAGAAATTTTGCAGACTTAAAAGGTAAAATTTCCTCATTTTGATCTGTTTGTGAACATTACAACAGATTTATAGTAAAGACAATTAAGTTCTTCAATGATTCCAACCATTTTATCTAAAAATAGAGCAAAGATCTATTAGGAAAATAGTCCAAACATGGGAAAATTTACTTTTTCATTTAAAGAACAGTTGTATTCATGCAAGATACATTCACAAAACACTTCAATTAGACTTAATATAATCTGGTTCTCAATGAAAGACATTATGTTTAAATAAATTGCCCAAAGCTGTTTCACTTCCAAGTGTGCAGAATCTGATCTCCTAAAGAGATTTTTTGAAGGGCTTGTAGTGAGAGGACAGGGTGGAATGGATGAAAACTGGAGGAGGGGAGATTGAGGTGAGACATGAGGAGGGAATTCTGGAGTGTGAGGGTGGTGAGAGCCTGGCCCAGGTTGCCCAGGGAAGCTGTGGCTGCCCCATCCCTGGCAGTGTTGAAGGGCAGGTTGGATGGGGCTTGGAGCAGCCTGGGCTGGTGGGAGGTGTCCCTGCCCATGCACGGGGTTGGAACTGGGTGGTCTTGAAGGTCCCTTCCAACCCAAACCATTCCATCATTCTGTGATTCTATGATCTGCCTCCTTTTCAGCTTCCAGTTTATCTGGATACTTGCACTGCTTTGTGGCAAAGAATCCTGCACAGCCCATGGCTTTGGAAGGCCTGGGATTCACAGCGTCTTGAGGAGACACAAAGGCTGAGGTTCAGCATTTTGCACTGTCTGCATCTCCCAAGTAGCTTGTTACAGCTCAGCTCAATACCTAGCCTGGCTCCAAGCCAGAAATTGGTCCTTGGTCCATATGTAGCCTTTATATAAATGATAACTTACATTTTAAAAAATACTTTGGGAGTCCTTTTGGATGACTGAAGCAGTTTTAAGTGGTACTAAGTCAGAGTTATTTTCTCTTCAGTCACTGGTAACTCAGCTTCAATCTCTGGGGGTTCAAAGTGGAGCTCCTGTCACTGTACTTCAAAATGAAGAAGAGGAAATGCTGGAGGGACTGGAAGATGTAAGTGTGCTTTTCTAGAATGTGATTGACTAATAATTAGAAAGCTACTTTTGATTTTCTGTTGTAAGCTTGTATTATGACATCTTTGTTTCACAGCAAGAATTTCATTTTACAATGCAATAAGGGCAGAGTTTGAGCCCATGCAGGGGGTTGGGACTGGATGATCTTGAAGGTCCCTTCCAACCCAAACCATTCTACAAGTCTATGAGTCTATTAAATGACTGATTAGTACCTCTTTATTGTTTTAAACTTCTGAAATTATGAAATGAAGCCTACAGGACCTACTTAAAGCACTATTTGTATTAAATAAAATAGAAAAACTAAATAGTTTCTTCATAAAATTGTCCTAAAAATCTGCAAGACATGATTTTTAAAAAACACTATAAGAAGTGTGGTGTGGTTTTCTTGTTAGGTTTGCTTATTTTGCAACAAAACATTTCCAGAAAAGGCTCAGGACAAGGCATATGCAGCTCCAGACAAAAAATTGATGTGTTGTTATTGCTGTTTTAAAAAACAGGATGAACTTTTCCGGGCTCTGTCATCTTGCAAACTAATAGCGCCCCGGTACCGGTGGCGGAGAAGCAGGTGGGGGATGGCATGTCCTGTGGCTCTGAAGGCAGGTGATATTGTCATGGGAAACCCAAGCATGGCTGTCAGGTTAGTGGAATTTGACACTTGGTCTTTTTATTTCTATTTTAGAACTGCCCAGATCTGTTGGCTTCTCTTTTTGAAGTTTTCTAGGTAGGATGTACCTCCTGTCGTCCCCAGAGGCGATGAAAACATTTCTGTTGAATCCACGGCCTTACTTGTTATCACCAATGCCAGTTCCTCCTTGTAAAGTACTGGTATTTGGTCCTCCCTTCTCTGGAAGAACAACCATTTGTAACCTAATTGCACAGAAGTATAAAGGAGAGGTAGGTTTAAAAATGTCTTCTGTAACAAGGGTATCAGCTGAGGCTTGGGAACCAGTTAAGCACATTCTTAGTCCTGTTGTGTTACATTTTGCAAACATGGATTACAGAGGAAACAGTAGTTTACTGAGATTAATTTATATGCAAGTAAATAAGTTTCCAAACTGTTTTTATTTGCCCTCTATATAAGCCACAGATGTATTTATTTTATATATTTTAATATTAAGATATGTATTTAAGATATATATTAAGCCATACATATATATCAGTTCTTTATCTTAGCAAAAGAATATTATGAATAACTTCTGTATTTAAATAATTAAATGCATATTAGAATTAATTTTTTTTGCCACAAAAATAAACAACCCTGCACTCTGACATTCACAAGGCTTTTCCAAATTCATTTCTTTGTATAGAAGTTGGATCAGATGCTGTATTTTTCTTCAAATCCTTTTTTCAAATCATTTCAACAGGTTCTTGATATGGCCAAACTCATCCAATCCCACATGGAAGAATTAAAAGAAAAGAACATTGAGACAGTGCAAAAGGATGCAGCAGAAAAGGCCTTAACAACAGTGAAAAATGGGCTGGAATTGGAGAAACAGTCAAAGGAATCAGGTAAATAAGGTGTTCCATGGTCTTTGAAGCCATCTTGTTTGCTTTAGTAATTTAACTGAAGCAGTTGCTGTCACTTTGACTTTTAAAATGTTACAGAAGTTGTTAAAATTGTGCATTAAATATGAACTAGAAGAGCATTCAGTGAAGCAAATAGCTGAGGAGAATTAAGTATTTCTGATATTGTACATAAATCCTCTGAAGTTGACTGTCACAGTGTGTAAGGAAGATTTTTCTCCTATCTTCTGGAAAGAAGAAATTGGTTCTGACTGATACTGGTTGGAAACTCCATTTAGATTATTTTCTGTCCAGTTAAATCTGCAAAATTTCGATTTTCTTCAAGAAAACAGCTTGTCTGCTGGGCTTGTGTGAACCCCCAATCTCTAGAGGTTTTCCACTTCCAGCTGTACTGTCTGAGGTGCCACATCAAGAAGACTCTCCAGCTCTGGTCACATTTAGACTTAATAAGCTGCCCAGGTTTTTGCAGCTTGATGAATTCAGGAAATATTTTGAAAATATGAAAATAACTTTGACATCTTTTAAACAAAACTTGGATTTTCTTCTTGCAGAAAATTCAGTGGGTTGTTAGGGTTGTTTTTTTTAAAATTCTTTCTTTTAAAATAGCATTTTTTCATTGGATTGCAATTGCCCCTTCCAGTTAGCTCTAGTTATGGTTCAAATGGACAATCAGGCCATTTTTCCTTACTCAACTAAGCAAAGAATGACTGTATTTTACTTCCTCATGAGTAGATAGATATCTAACAAGAAGGCAGCAAATGTCTCTGATGCTGAGAGTGACACAAAAACCTTTGGTGCAGCAGCAAGAATAATGGTGAACTATGGCACCAAAATTAAAACCATTCAGCAGTGTTCTGTTCCAGGGTATGTGAAATCATATTAGGATTAATGAGAACTTAATCCTTATTAATAGCCTTGGAAAGCTCAAGTAATTTTAATACAAAACAAACCAGAAATAGATGAGGGATGTAAATTGTTATGGAAAGTAAGAAAGCTTCACAAGGGGAAAAAACAATGTCAGGAATCTTGGATATAGATCTAGAGGTCACTATCCCAGGAAGTATTTCCTGTTTCTAATGAAACTATTTAGTTGATTACCTATTAAATTCTGCCTTTTGAGAGAATACCAGAGATTCATAAAAAGTAGACAGAAGACATGTATCAGTTTAATTAGTGAAATCCCCTCTGACTGTCTTGAGTGAGTGCTCCCAAAGCCTGTTCAGGGATAGACAGTGAGGCAAAGAAACTCCACTGAAGTCCACAGAGCTCCTGTCACCTGCCAGAGTCAGTCAGGAGACTGGAGCAACTGGTTCTGAGTCTCAATGCCCAAGTCATGCACAGAGCACTTTCAGAGTAGCTGTATTGTCATCTCCCAGGTGGAACTCTTCATGGTTTCAGCATAATACAAGGGCTTGTAGAGAGGACAAGGGGGAATGGATGAGAACTGGAGGAGGGGAGATTGAGGTGAGACATGAGGAAGGAATTGTGGAGTGTGAGGGTGGTGAGAGCCTGGCCCAGGTTGCCCAGGGAAGCTGTGGCTGCCCCATCCCTGGCAGTGTTGAAGGGCAGGTTGGATGGGGCTTGGAGCAGCCTGGGCTGGTGGGAGGTGTCCCTGCCCATGCAGGGGTTGGAACTGGATGGTCTTGAAGGTCCCTTCCAATCCAAGCCAATCTATGTTCTATGATTCTGTGATAATAAATGTGCATTTGGAATGAATCAATTATTTTGCATGTTCTAGGGCTGCTTTGCCATGGGTACCAAAGCATGAGTAGGATCAGGAGATTCACATAAACCAGATTGCTGATTTAAACTAAAGAAGTAACACACACACATCCAGAGCATCCCAATCTGTCCATGTGCTCAGGTGACATCCAGCTCAAACAGAATCACATTGTTGTGGCTGGGGCGAAAACAGTGGAGGGTATTAGATGTGTTGAACTGAAGAACTTTTCATGATTTGTGTATTTTTAAATTATTTTCTGGCTTCTGTCATGTTACTGGTCTCTTTTAAAGAACATGAAAACTGTTAGAGAGCTATTGGTGATTCACAGGTAATGGGTACTAGTCTTGCCTTCACCAGGACTGGAAAAGTGCACACAATTCCTAGAAGGTGTGTTGGGAGATTCCACAGATGAGAAGGCTGCAGATGAAGAGAAGCTGTAACTGGTTTAGACAGATGGATTTAGTGGTGAAGTGCTTGTATAAAAGGGTTTTCTACTCATCTAGTTTCTGTGGATTTAATACCATATCATAACTATAGGAGAATTTCAAGAAGATGCCAGAGGAGCAGATGATTCTGAAAACTCCACAAAAACCAGAGAAGGACCAGATGTGGAAGAGGGAACTACTGTAGAATCTGCCATCACCCAAAAAGGTAAAAACTAAATCTTTGCTATTTGAAGCTTGTCATTTGATGCCTTCACTATGTCTTGCAAATTAAAATCTGTAAGCTAGTACCTATTTCTCACACTTGTGAATATATTATAATTTTTTTTTTGTTGCAGATACTGTTGTTTGAGGAACCTAAAGTGAAATTGTTAATTTTGTCATTGAAAGATATGAATCCATTAGTACCACATTAGTGTACAGGGAAAAAAACTTCCACTGACCTTCATAGGAGCTAAGCATGTATTTTGATGAAAAGTTTGGTATTTTCACTAATATAGTTCTTTATACCATAAGATTGTCTCAGAAACTTCAATAGATAAGGTGAATTCAAGAGAAGGAGTTTTTGCCACTTGAATATGAGAAATTTTAAAGTATGCTGAAGTATTAGTCCATTGGAATATATTGATGTTGGTAAGCCTGACATGGTTTAAAAGACTAGTGTTTTGGTATTGGTTTTAAGATAGAAAAGGGTAGATTTAGGTTGGACATTTGGAAAAAGTTCTTTAATATGAGGGTGGTGAAGCAGTGGATCAGGTTGCTCAGAGAGGTGGTGGAGGCCCCATCCCTGGAGACATTCAAGGTCAGGCTTGATGGGGCTCTGAGCAACCTGGTCTAGTGTGAGATGTCCCTGCTTATTGTAGGGGGTTGGACTAGAGGACCTTTAGAGGTCCCTTCCAACCCAAAGCATTCTATGATTCAGTGTTATTTGTCAGCCAGAACAGGCTGATACTTTGTCTCAACCAAGGAAGAGAGATTATTACGTAGATCAAATTAATGGACATTAATGAAATAGATTTTAAGGAGCTAAAATGGAAATTAAATAGATGTGGAGTGTGAAGTCATTTTTACAAATTTCTGTGTCTTTTTAAAGGAAAACATTTGTTTCTCCAATTATATTCTTCCTTAAGTTTATAACATTTTATATGTGCAAAAGATATGGAAGAAAGCACTAATTTTAAGAATTGTGTCAGCAGTTAATAACAAAGTATGGATCCAATGTGAACACTTTGTGCATCCTAGGGAACACAGGCTTCTTGACTGTTGACAATAAACTGTCTTGATCTATGATTTGTATTGATTTTTAAATTAATCTGGTCAACCTTTTGATTTAGGAATCGGAGAAATCAAATCAAAGGAAATTCTCAGGTGCTGCAGGTGCCTGATTGTTCTAGTACACAAATTTAATTCCATTCATATTGAAACAGTGTTTCATTTAATGGCAGAAAATATTTTACAGTTAAAAAGAGGGGGGTTTGTAATGAGAGAGCAAACCAAGAGCTTAAAACTTAACTTTACAAATACCCTCTGGAACTGCATTCAGAAGAACTGGTATTTGATTCTCTCTCTGTATTATTGTGTAATATTCCTTAAAATGACTCCTGCACTGGAATTCTGCAGGGGCTGGATTTAATTTAGACCCTGACCCAGGTTGCCCAGGGAAGCTGTGGCTGCCCCATCCCTGGCAGTGTTGAAGGGCAGGTTGGATGGGGCTTGGAGCAGCCTGGTCTGGTGGGAGGTGTCCCTGCCCATGCAAGGGGTTGGAACTGAATGGTCTTGAAGGTCCCTTCCAACCCAATAAATTCTATGATTCTGTGATTCTAATTGCCTAGCAGTTATTCCTGACCTGAGGAAAGAAGTATTTTGGAATTTTATTAAGCACTTTAAAAATCTCTCTTGTTAGAAGGGTCAGAGACCACTGCTGACCACCCAGAAGTACAAGGAGCATCAGAAGAAGCCATGGAAAGTGCATCAGTCTCTGGACCAACACTGTCCCCTGAGCTCTGTGCAGAGGTTCTGGAGAGAGCCATTGCAAAGGTAAAGCTGCAAGGACTACATAACTTTTTTACAAAGAGCAGCATGTAACAGTTTATACCTTATCAATAGCTGTTCTTAATTTTTCTATTTGAAAGATCAGTTTAGCTTATATCACCCAGTCTGAAAGCTTATGTAGGATTGAGGGAGATTGAGCAGGTTCATAAATGACAAATCCCTTGAGGACTCCTGTACTTGTGTACATCATCTCTGCCTTGCAAAGTACCTGGGCTACACATTTAACAAGGCTGTGAGAATTACCTGAGGGAAGTGTCACTGCATGTTTGCCCTGTTCTTTTACTCACAATTAGAAGCTCAACACCAGACACAAGTGCTTGAAAAGAATTATATATTCTGGTTTATTCAAGTATCTTGAAGTGGTTTGAATTTGTTCACTGGTTTGTGACTACTGAAACTGGAATCTAAGTTATTTAAAGGCAACCTTAAAAATCACTAGCACATTAATCATTTTCTGGATGTTTGTTTATTTTGTTCCCTTCAGACATACATAGTTATAAGTGTCTTACTTTTTATTGACCTGAAATGAGAGCAGGGAAAAATCATGTTGTGTAGAAAGTAATTCTGTATTGTGCAGTCTTTTTGAACAGCTCACAGACTGTCTTTTTAGTTGACTGAACCTGACTTTTTACAACAGCTCATGAAGAAGAACAAAGACAGGTTTCCTGGTGCTCCAGAAAAAGGAGGATGGGTGGTGGATAATTACCCTCTCTCAGTAGAACACTGGTCAGCTTTAACAGAAAAAGGACTTTCACCAGACACTGTTGTCTGTCTGAAGGACACAGAGAATGATGGTCAGTAAACACACACTCCTGTAACTTCATCTTTTCTTTTTTTCTGCCTTGGTGTCTGTATATAAAACACAGAGAAGGAAAAACAGTAGTTGTGTCCCATTTATAAAGTTTCAGGGGTCTAGAGAAGGAAGAACCCAGTGAATCAATCAGGGTATCCCAAATTTATTACCATTTGGATTAAGGGTATTACACAGAATTAAGAAGGAGAATGTTTACAGAACCAGAAAAGAAAATTCCTCCTATTTATAATCCTGTTTACAATTTCCTCCTGTTTGCAATCAGCAGTAAATACCACTGGACTCTTGCAGTTTCAGGCTTTTGTGTTCTGGGCTGGCTGGCCACCAGCTTCCAATGTGGCTCTCACTCCAATTTCCCCACCTGCAAAACTGGGTTATATAGAGGAACTTTCTCTGCTTGAGAGAACAAGGAGTGGTAGGGGTGGTGAGGAGAAAGACCTGTATGCAAGTGTATCCTGTTCCTCATCCTGGAGTAAAAAAAAAACAGCTGAGCAACTTCTTAACCAGATTGAAACAGTAGCCTCCTACCCATGAATTCAGAGAAAGGAATTTTTACTTTATTATTTCAAGCAGGAGGGAAGATTAGTACCATGAAAACATGAACAGGTTCATACACTGTTAAAAGCTCTGCCTGCCAAATCCTGTTTTCATGGAGTCTGCCTGCTTGATTCATACCACACCACAAGTTTCATTGCCACATGGCATGGTTGGATCATTGCCTGTTCAACCCAGTCCATTACCTTAAGGTCTTTCAGTAGTAGAAGCTTCCCTTCAAGAAAGGAATGATAAGTCTATTTATACTTTGTTCAAGAAAGCTCAGTACCAGTCCAGAGACCTTTTCAAACCCCTGTCCCTGAATATAAAAACCAACCTGAGCAAATCAAGGTTGCACAGTTTACCCAGGACAGTCTTCTTTTCAGAAGGTTATCTGGTCATCTAGTCATCCAGCTGCCTAAACTACTTAGTCACGTAGCTTTGTGACATATGGTAACACCTTCAACATGCTAACTACAAGTCTCCCAGTGTGGCTGGAGCTCATACACAGACTATATACAGACTAAACATTTCTATGAGAAGGTTCCAGATCCAGTGTTTGTCAGGAAATCATATTTGCTGTTCCTAACATGCAGGGAGACCTCATCTCTGACAATTACAGAAAGAACTGAAGGACAAATTGCATTTCTGTGCCTCCTCTTGGCTTCCCAGGCATTTCTAGCATATTGAAACATTCATGAACCCAGTTTCTGAGACGCAGTGCATTGTCTTTGTGTTTGGTTGCCACTTATTTACGTTGCTTAAATAATAATGTAGTTGTAGAGTTTACATTTTCACAGTGTCTAGAGTAATTTCTCTGTGAGTTATTCTCTGAACTAGTCTAAACTGGCATAACTCCAGGGCTGGAATTTGATATCAGCCATTTATCATAAATCTATTTGCCAAAGGAAATAAGTCAGCAGGGTTCCTATAGGAACAGCATATTCTTCATTCTCTCAACCAGCTGAAGTAGTATAGTTAAGTTTATATTTTTATTTGAATGGTGTTTATTTGCTTCTTCTTCATACACAGACAAATAAAAGAAATGACAGAGTAACAGACAATGTATGGAAATATAAGATAAATAACTTCATTGTTCCTCTCCCCTGATAGGGCTTAATCACAACCATCCCATATCCCAGACTCATTTTATTAGGTGCTTGAAATTGAAAGCAAAGCTTTAAAACCTTAGAAATCAACAGTATGAGAACATTTCAGTGGTATATATGCCTTTTGTTTGCTTTAGAAAGACATTAGGAACTTGTCAATCATTTGTTAAATCATTTTCCTAACTCAAATAACTTCAGGTTTATATAGAGGCATAAAACTCATTACTATTGTGTTGTTGTATTTCAGGAGTCTATACAATACGCAGAACATACTTAGCAACTGGGGATAAAATTAATTCTAAGACTTTGAGAAGACTAACCCATGCAGCATTAGAAGTGAAAGCTGAAGATTATGAAAAAGAACAAGAACAAGAAGAAAAAGAAAGGTGAAATATTCCAAATATCTGAACGTATAAAATGAGCACAAGAAAATTCTAGCCTTCCTTTGTGCTTCTATCAACACAAATGTAGTAAAACATTGCTCTAAGATTATTTGAGATGTAAAGGAGATAATCCAATTTGTGTTAACTTTGAGGAATATCTCCTTTTGATCAGCACATACAGTGGCAGAAGATCCTCTTGCTAAATGCATTTTCATTAGCCCTTTGTTAGTCCAGCCTTCTCATGAAATGAGACAATAACATTTTAGATCATAAAACATTTGATTTTTATTCTGTACAAACCAAGTGATATTTCAGTTCCCAATGGTATATTTCCACATCTTTACATTTAATACATCTGCAACTTGCTTCAGGAGTATTTATGTAAGTCTTAAGATGAAGAATCTTTTCCTTGCAGAAAAGAAATGCAAGAAATACCAACAGCAGAGGAAGATCAGTCTCCAGAGACTGCTGAGAAGAAAGGTGAGGGTGTTTATCATTTGACTTCTGTTTTATCTATATTTATGTTTCAGATCATTTAGCAATTTGGTTTTTATGCATTTTTTTGGATTTTGCAGTTTTTATTTCCTTTTTGCATTCTTCCTGTGCTATCTTTGCTTCCTTCACTGATTGAGGCACCCAGATCTATGTGTGATTCTTAATTGGTGTTACAAAACAGAGATGGGTATTCAATTTATTTTCAATACATCTGAAGGACAGGACTCTCTATATCCTCTAATAACTTTTCTAAGTGGGTTATTATCTGTATTGAAACTTCCTACTGATCAAAATCTCTGTATCCCCTCACCAGTTAGAAAACATCATTTAGAACTTAGCCAATAGCCAATAAGAAAATTGCAAAACTGTCTGACTTTCTGCTCTTCCTCCAAGAAACTCAGCCTAAAGCAATTAAAGGGGAATGGAAATTATTCCAAGAATGGGTGTCTTAGCCTGCATTAAGAATTGCTGAATCTGGTAGCAACATAGATTATGAATTGCTCCATCCAGTAGCCCCATAGAGGTGAGGCTGCTGCAGCTCCATGTCCCCAGGACCTTGCAGCAGTGAGCCTGAGTGTCTCCTCATTCATCCTCTTGCTTCTCCCCAGTCCACTTTCATCCCACCTTCTCCTTGTCTTTGGTCCTCAGAATTGCTTCATAATACCAAAAGTCTCTCACAATGCCAAACTGCTTTTCCTGGCATCCAAGTGTGCATAATCTGATCTCCTAAAGAGATTTTTTTCCAAGGGCTTGTAGTGAGAGGACAAGGGGGAATGGATGAAAACTGGAAGAGGGGAGATTGAGATGAGACATGAGGAGGAAATGCTGGAGTGTGAGATTGGTGAGAACCTGGCCCAGGTTGCCCAGGGAAGCTGTGGCTGCCCCATCCCTGGCAGTGTTGAAGGGCAGGTTGGATGGGGCTTGGAACACCCTGGGCTGGTGGGAGGTGTCCCTGCCCATGCAGGGGTTGGGACTGGATGGGCTTGAAGGTCCCTTCCAACCCAAGCCAGTCTATGTTCTATGAATTCCTACTTGTTTTCTCTCAACAATGGAGGCCTAGACTGCCATTACTCCCTTCCTTTTAAGCATAAAATACTTTGTTTCTGTAGAAGAACATTATGGCCAAGGTTAAGTTCTGTATTGTCAATGTGCCTCACATACACTCACTTTCATTACCCAGTCAGGTGTCTATTGTACCTGTGTATAACAAAGCCTGGGTCATAAAGACAGGATAAGACAGACTGAATAGACTGAATACAATAATATGTTTTTCATTTTTAATTAAGTAATATTTCACCTACTCTCTGAATAAAATACTATTTAAATTACATATACACTTAAAAAAAAGCTCCATTCTAGCTTTCTATAGTTTCTGATAGAACACAGCTCTTCTCCAAAGTGAACAAGTTATTAAATATAAAGGGTTCTACATAGACACTCTCTTATCTCTGTTTCCAACAAAAAATTCATCTTAGTTTTGAGTATCTAATTCATTTTTATCCGAGTGCATCAAAATAACTACTAATGATAGAAGTAATAATGTCATATACACACTTGTTTTCTTACACGTGGCAAGTCCTTGTTTAGAAAAATCATGTTTTCCAACACCTACGGTGTATTTCATAATCAAATACTGACTCACCCAAACACTTCAGTCATGCTGCTCTTAGCCTGACAGCTGTTTTAATTCACATGGAGTGCCATCTGCACATTGACTGCAGCTTTTCTCCCATGTGACATGTCTTTACAAAAATATAAATGAATGACATGTTGACAGTTTGGGTTTGTTTTGTTGGTGGTTTTTTTATATAGTGGTTATGGCATAAAAATGCAAGATCAGAAAAGTACTCCAGACCCCCAGTCATGCTCTTTTGATTTCTCATGCATCATATCAAAGGGAATGGCCCAAAGCTGTGCCAGTGGAGGTTGAGACTGAACTTTAGGAAGCACTTATTTACCCAGAGAATGGGCAAAGACTGGAACACATTTCCTAGAGAGGTGGTTAATGCCCCAAAAGAGATGGGCATGAAAAAAAATGCCATCTTTGCAGATTTTAAAATACATTCTTGTTTAATATGATGCCCTGCCTTTCCCCACAGATCAGACAGCTGGTCTTAAAATGTTTGGTCCATGTGCAATACCTGAACATTAATAACTGACTCTTTTTGTGCATGTGATCAAATACCAGTTTGGCAGTGTTATCCAAAAATACCTTTATTTCTGTCATGCCCCAATCACTCCTCCATGGGCTTGTTAAAGTTACTAATGATTTTTTTTGTGCCAACAGAATCTGAGGACAACAATGAGCAGCTTCCACCTGAAACTCAGGAGGTGTCCCAGAAACAATCCAGTGGCTCTGCAGATAATGGAGAAGAATCTAAACCTACAGGTTGGCCTTGTAGCAAATGTAATTTCTCTTCCTAGAATCAAGAACTGCATGCCTTCCTCTTCTGGAAGCTTTTACTGTGCTTGAAAATTGGCTGTAAATATAATTCCTTACCTTAATTGCTTTCTTTTAAAGAAGTTTATAATGAAATAGTCAGGTTCAAGTTATTTAAACATTTATAAGTGGAATTAAAGCCATGTTGTTATTCCCTGTTAAAAATAATGCAGTAGGTACTTGCATTTTTGAAAAACCTCAAAATCCCCCTATTGCTTCTACTGCCCAAATACCAAATTAATAGATGTGCTCAGAGAGCTCTGGAAATAACAAATCAAGTGAGCATTGCTGAAATTCCAGGTTGACATAACCTCTTGTATTCAGAAATCCAGGAGCATTCTCTACAGGATGAAGTGATAAGGGAGAGAAATCAGAGGAATAAAAACTTTAGGAAGACACTCTCTTGGGTTGTGACTCCCAAAAGAAAGAAAATAGAAGAAAATACCAGAAAAAAATGGGAAGGGGGAAAATCTCACAGAAAATTATCAAGTTGCAGTATTCACTGGGTTGTGACTCCCAAAAGAAAGAAAATAGAAAGAAGAAAATACCAGAAAAAAATGGGAGGGGGGAAAATCTCACAGGAAATGATCAAGTTGCAGTATTCACAAACAGCTACAGACCATTAAAAAATTCATATTATATGCCTATTAATCAGAAGCTACTAGTCCATTCCTTGTGGCAAGGGATCTTGGGAAAAACGGGAATGGATGAATTTTAACTCTGGATGTGAATGATCACATGCTTAGTCATCCATAGCCCTGCTAACAGCTTCCTGGAGTTCACACAGAGTCATGTTTTCTTCTTGTTGGCAGAAGCCAAAATGCTGCAGCACATGCAGCTCCACAGAACCATAAACTAATGAAAATACACATGAAATTCTGTAGCAGCCTTCTCTCAAAACCCCTTTGAAGGCAACTTATTTTTAATGAAGGCAGACTGCTTTAGTTTTTCAAATATACATTTTAGCTTTTATCATGGAGTCACAGAATCAGAATGGTTTGGGTTGGAAGGGACCTTCAAGATCATCCAGTCCCACCCCCTGCATGGGCAGGGACACCTCCCACCAGCCCAGGCTGCTCCAAGCCCCATCCAACCTGCCCTTCAACACTGCCAGGGATGGGGCAGCCACAGCTTCCCTGGGCAACCTGGGCCAGTGCCCATCTCCTGCCTTTACTAGAATTTTTAGAATATGTTAAAGTCTGGAAGAGAAATAAATCCAACATAAATTATTTTAAGTAGCAAGTTGTTAAATATGCACATTTTATGCTTTGGAAAGAATCAACTTCATCTGTAAACTGAACTGCTTTTCCTTCCATACACTATAAATCAGTGCCCAGATTATAAATTTGCCTATTGACTACATTTGACTGTGATTTGCTGAAAATGATTTGGCAGCAAGTATTTCTAAGTGTGAAGAGTCTGTATAAGCAAACTACCTGGTTTGTTCATAATGAAATACATCTGGGTTCCAAGGAATGGAAGTGTCACTGTCACCCTGCATTTTGCCTTTCCGTTCATTTTGCTACTTAAACTCTGATGAAGAAATGCTGGCTCCTAATGTCTCTCTCAGCTTTGGCAGGGCTTGAGAGGGGAAGACAGAAGGGTTTTTCTGTCTTTTTTATTGCTGAATATGGACTGAGGGCAGAACAAGTCGTATCTAATACTAGCACAACACTGGAAAAAAAGAGATTAAAAGTTTTCCTTCCCCAGCAACTCACTTGGAGAGCCTGGGGGCAGAAATCCTTTGGGGGTTGTTTGTCTCTATAGCAACTATGCTCAGTGAAGGCAAGGACACCAAGCAAAACAATATGGGACATTGCCAAGGAGGCATTCCCTGGGAAAGCTCCAGATTTAGGGCTGTGGAGGATTGTTTCCCATCACCTCTGTGATAAGGAAGAGAAATTAAAACCAGCACTTAGCTAGACTGCCACCTCCTCTGAAGGAAACTTGTTTACATTTTTAGAGCAATTTCTTTTAAAACCATTACTGTCTTTTCAAGTATTTTCCTTGACTATGTTTCTTATTTCTTTAAAAACATCTTCTCACTGTAAATCTTTAGGCTAAGGAACATTCCAGTACACAAAGGTTAGCCCCTGAAGTGTCAGCCCAATTGTTCTGTTGTTCAAATTTAAAGAGGATGTTGCAGGGGGAATGTGTCAAAGGCCTTACAGAAGTGCAGAGAGATGACAGCAATAGCCCTTCCCTTGTCCACTGATGTAGTCACTCCACTGCAGAAGGGCCCTGGGTTGGTCCAGCAGGACTTGCCCTTGGTGAAGCTGTGGTGGCCCTCTCAAATCTCCTCCCTGTCCTCCATGGGCCTTAGCATAGTTGCCAGGAGGATCTGTTCCATGATCTTCCCAGGCACAGGGGTGAGGCTCCCATCTCCTGCCTTTACTAGAATTTTTAGAATATGTTAAAGTCTGGAAGAGAAATAAATCCAACATAAATTATTTTAAGTAGCAAGTTGTTAAATATGCACATTTTATGCTTTGGAAAGAATCAACTTCATCTGTAAACTGAACTGCTTTTCCTTCCATACACTATAAATCAGTGCCCAGATTATAAATTTGCCTATTGACTACATTTGACTGTGATTTGCTGAAAATGATTTGGCAGCAAGTATTTCTAAGTGTGAAGAGTCTGTATAAGCAAACTACCTGGTTTGTTCATAATGAAATACATCTGGGTTCCAAGGAATGGAAGTGTCACTGTCACCCTGCATTTTGCCTTTCCGTTCATTTTGCTACTTAAACTCTGATGAAGAAATGCTGGCTCCTAATGTCTCTCTCAGCTTTGGCAGGGCTTGAGAGGGGAAGACAGAAGGGTTTTTCTGTCTTTTTTATTGCTGAATATGGACTGAGGGCAGAACAAGTCGTATCTAATACTAGCACAACACTGGAAAAAAAGAGATTAAAAGTTTTCCTTCCCCAGCAACTCACTTGGAGAGCCTGGGGGCAGAAATCCTTTGGGGGTTGTTTGTCTCTATAGCAACTATGCTCAGTGAAGGCAAGGACACCAAGCAAAACAATATGGGACATTGCCAAGGAGGCATTCCCTGGGAAAGCTCCAGATTTAGGGCTGTGGAGGATTGTTTCCCATCACCTCTGTGATAAGGAAGAGAAATTAAAACCAGCACTTAGCTAGACTGCCACCTCCTCTGAAGGAAACTTGTTTACATTTTTAGAGCAATTTCTTTTAAAACCATTACTGTCTTTTCAAGTATTTTCCTTGACTATGTTTCTTATTTCTTTAAAAACATCTTCTCACTGTAAATCTTTAGGCTAAGGAACATTCCAGTACACAAAGGTTAGCCCCTGAAGTGTCAGCCCAATTGTTCTGTTGTTCAAATTTAAAGAGGATGTTGCAGGGGGAATGTGTCAAAGGCCTTACAGAAGTGCAGAGAGATGACAGCAATAGCCCTTCCCTTGTCCACTGATGTAGTCACTCCACTGCAGAAGGGCCCTGGGTTGGTCCAGCAGGACTTGCCCTTGGTGAAGCTGTGGTGGCCCTCTCAAATCTCCTCCCTGTCCTCCATGGGCCTTAGCATAGTTGCCAGGAGGATCTGTTCCATGATCTTCCCAGGCACAGGGGTGAGGCTGACAGGCAGTAGTTCTCAGGATCCTTGTTTCTACAAATTTTAAGAATGGGTGCAATGTTTCCCTTTTTCCAGTCCCTGGGAACTTCACCTGACTGCCATGACTTCTCAAATGTCACAGAAAGTGACTTGGCAGCTACATCATCCCATTCCCTCAGGACTCTGGGACGCATCTCATCAGGTCCCATGGACTGACTTATGTTCAGGTTCCTCAGGTGGTCACAAACCCAGTGTTCCCTTACAGTGAGAAGGACTTTGCTCCCCCAGTCCCTGCCTTGCAGCCCATCCCCTGGAGAGGTGTGGGAAGAGAGGCTGCCAGGGAAGACAAAGGCAAAAAAGTTGTTGAGTACCTCAGCCTTCTCCTTGTGCATTGTTCCCGGTTTGCCAAACCTGCTCATCAGGGGGGACACTTTCCTTGACCTTCCTTTTCTGGCTGACACACCTGTAGAAGCTCTTCTTATTGTTCTTTGTGTCCCTTGCCAAGTCCAGCTCCTTCCACACCCACTTTATTTCTTCCTAAGCTGAAATGTTCCATATGAGGCACATCCATATGGATATCCTGTCAAAAACTGTTCATCTTGAAATAATAATGTATATTCCTCAAGTTTCTTTGCAGAAAGAGTGATTATATTTGTATGCTGATTTAAATACCCACATGAAAATTTGGTTCAGTAATTTGACCTTGGTTTCTTTCCTTGAGAAGCATCAGTATATACTATAGCAACATCATTCATTTGGCATTTTTCAAAGTGTCTTTGTAAACTAGTAATATAAAAACTCATAGTTATGGGAGGGGAAGGGGAGGAAGGAAGCAGCATTGAAAAAAATATGCCACCATATTGAGGGAAAAAAAAAGAATCCTAAAAACATCATGGTAATTTTAAAATGCAAAACATTTTAGAGGAGCATTGCCTTCTATATGCCCTTGGATTTTCAGAAGCCATGCCACGTGAGTTTGCAGAGGATGATTTACAAGATCTACCAGAAGTGGAAGCAATTAAAAAGAAGATTGAGGATTTCTTGGAAAACTGGGAAACAGTGGAGTCAGAAATCAGAAAGTCATCTCTAATTCAAGTTGTTGTTTTAGAGATTGCTGAGCAAACTCCAGAAAGTCTGCTTAACCAAGTTGTGCTGGTGATGGAAAGTAAGTAATACTGTTTAGGTGATTTACACTTCAGCTACCAAGAGAGATTTTTGAGGAGCTTGTATGATGAATACATTGAGGAGCTGAGTTATACTCAGTTTTATTACTCACATGAACTGGAACCAGGAGAAGCTGTGTTCTGTGAGTGAGCTGAAAAGCACACAAGCAGCCTTTAAAACACAGGCAGAGTGGGGAATATATAGATTTGAAATATATATCTATGTATATGGATGTGCCAGTGTCTACATAACAGCTCCCTGAAGGCTCTGACAGAGTAGTTCCCCATTTAACTTGCTCTGTCCATGTCAGAATTCTGGTTTGGGAAAGGGATAGATAACAAAGGTTCACTAATGTACAGTATTCACTGAAGTCAAAGAGACTTTCAGGATGTGTAATAATCCAATTACCCACATCCACAGATTGTGTTTCAAGACTGAATTTTTACAGTATTGGCTTTTTGGGGGACAGATTACTTTTCTTCACTGTTGTGCTCAAATCTGTAAGAATTCTGAGTACTGCAGAAATAATATTAATACTGCATTTTCCCTATCATTACTACAATGCAAGGGTTTTATTAACCAAAGCATCTATTGTGATGACTTTATCATCAAGTCAAATTTGACTGATGTTTCTTCCCAAATAACCAATAAGGAAAAAAACCCAACCTGTTGCAAACAGAAATGGCACCATCTGTGTGTGTTTGTATAATACTTTTGTGTTACAAGTTCCCATTGAAAATATCCATCAAAAAACCAAACCAACAACCAGTAGAACTGCCATTTTTGGAGGAAGCAATTTACTAATTCCTACATCTGGGGAGAACAGTTTGTTCCATGAGTTGGAGAAATGCAATGTACTGTTGGTATGATTTGCTTTCACATGTGCCTACTTTTATGGGCAAAGAGAATATATTCTGGCATAGCCAAATGAAAAATAATGTAACAGAAAAAAAAAAATCCTCATCTTTTCAGAACCTTTTAAATACTATGGTTGGGAACTATCTGCTGAAGACTTGGATGAAGAAGCAGAAGATCTGGCTGCTGAAGCAGAAGATAAGGAAGAGGAAGATGAAGAAGAAGAGGAAGAAGAAGAAGAAGTAAGTATGCTGGAGTAATCTACTTAGGCTCTTATTTTAAATCATTTATTGTCAGTGCAAATGTAGCCCCAAATAAGTCTGATTTTGCATGATCCAGTTTCAGCCTTTCTAGAGAATAAATATCAGCATATGCTTCAGGAAGACAGTGGTTGTGTTCCTGTGTTCTGGCTGAGAGAGTTTTAGTCCAGCAAGGAGCAAAAAGTAGAGAGAATGAATGTGTGAGGTTTTTTGCCAGATGACAAAGAGGGGTTTTATTAAAGAACCAAATGTGAACTTTGATTTCTGACAATTAACAATGATTCTGGGAGCCATCCTATAAACATCAGAGGATGGAGAGTTGTAACATGCAATCCTCTGTTTCATCTCAGCCATTGACAATTTTCAAACACCCATTTTAATGAAATTAAATGTCTGGCTTCACCTTTCTTTAGTTTTCATCCTTTATTGGAGGATTCCAATCCTAAAACTCAACAGCACAGGATATCCAGCTCCTGTGCAGGAGCAGTATTTAATTTTTTTAGACAGCAATTTTCTTGGATAAGTAATCTAAGTTGCTAATACCAGCTCTCATTGCCTTTCCTGAAGAGGCCACGGCTGCAAGTCTAGAAGCAACAGAAAGTGAGTTTCAAGTACACAGCAGGAAAGATCTTATCACAGATACTTTCAGCCTAATTTAGGTCCTGAACAGCTAATGATGATACTATCATTTCAAACGTAAAATGGCCATTCTTTTCTCAATAATCCACTCAAATGGATGGTTTGTTTTCTGACTCTGAATCTAAAGCATATGCATTATCATAGATTTATATTCAGCTTACAAGCTGCCTTGGGAATACCATTCCCATTCAGGGCTCACCTCAGGGGTTTGACATTACTTAACCTGTTCTACTTCATCTACTCAATCTAACTGAACTACTGAATCCAAATAGCTCTTGAAAATTCTGATAATATTTTCAGGATGAAGAAAAAATTCAGGAAAGGAAAAGACAGATGGGAGACACAAAGCACTTTTGTCCAGTCAGTCTGAAAGAGAACTTCGTCCTCTACCCAGGACTCTTGGAATATGCAGCTAAATATCGAGAGAAGATTTATTACTTTTCAACTTTTGAGTGCAGAGAGCAATTCCTAGAGAACCCTGAGGAATATGTGGCTCACAAGGAACCAATACAAGTGAGAACTTTCAGAATTCTTTACAGCAGATGGTGACAGATTAAAATCCCTGTTTTCCATTCCCATTTATAATTGTTTATGATTGCTGATTTTTTTTTTTCTGGGTAACAATAAATGTGTCAGGCAAGTCCTTGAAACAAATAAAATACATTGGTTCCCTCCTGATGTTTTAGTATATGCTTAAATCAACACATTGAATTAATGATAAATAAATAGATAAATAAATAAATATAACAAATAAAACAGCAAAGAGAGGAAGATTACACAGGCTTATGATAATCATAAGATGTGATTAACAAATCACACATATTGGGTTGGGTTTTTTTACTATCTTTAAGTCCCTTTTGTTGATGTTTGTGGGGGTTTTTTTTGTAAGTGGAAGAAGGGTAAAAGAAGGGAAGATTTACCAGAATTGTCTAATGAAGATTAATTTTTACCTGTGAGAATCAACTGCCACAGTGTATTTGTTCAGTATTTCCAGAGCTCAGGTCACCAGCAATGGAAAGCTTGGAAAAACTAAAATGCAAAAATTTGTGACTGCTTCTGATGCAATTTTTATAACGACCTTTTGGAAGTGAAAACCATTAGGGGTTGTGCTGTAAGCTCCAAATTGTTACAAAAGACTCACATTTTTTCCTTACAGGCTCCTCCTTTACGGGTGTTCTTCCTTGGGACACACGGAGCAGGTAAAACTACTTGTGCACGAAGGATAGCAGAGAAATTAGGCATTTTCCATATTCAGTTTGAAGAATATCTACAGCAACTGATCTTACCCAAAACTAAAAAGAAAGTTGGGCCCCATCTTGATGAAGAATCTGAAGAAGATGACTATAAAATGGAAATTCTAGCAGACGAACTGGAAGAATTCCCTCAGACCATGACTGAACCTGAGTTAGAAGAAAGTGAACAGGTAATGTTCTTTTTTATGTCCATACACAAAATAACCATTTTCAGACCAGAATAGGACTTTCCTATAAAGCTCCAGCTTGATAAAAATCACTTATGTTAAATTCTTTACTTGACAAAATTTGGAAAGAATAGTTCTTGACGATGTTTCCTTATGAATGCCACAAACATTCTTCAAAACATTTCCAGAAATTATGGTTTAGGTGTCATTGACACTCATACAGCAGCAAGTGGCCCAACTGTAGGGACATACTCAACCTCAAGCATGTGGAAAATACCCCAAAATATATAATGTCATGCAGTGAAATAAATGTACTTTGCTTCTGCTGGTTTAAATCAAGCCAAGACAGTACCTTAGTGACCACATCAGAAACCTGCTATGTGGTTCTTCCTTTCTGATATATTTTTTTTTCCATTTGTTTTGTGGATTTTCTTTGTAAAAAGGAGGTGGAATTAACTGCTGAGGAAGAAGCAATCAAAGCAAATCTGATGTATAATGAGTCACTGCCTCCAGAAGTCCTTGATAACATTGTCCCTGACTGGTGGAGGAAAGAGCCATTCAGGTAACTGTCCTTAGATTATCTCTTTCTTTAATTAAACTTAGGAAGTATATCCCCCATGATGTCCACAATTACAGATAACTATTGCAGAGATTATTTCAATGCTCTTGTAATTTTTATGAATCAGCCTACCTCTCAGTCTTGGTTTTATTGCTCTCTTTTGATTGCTATTTTGACAGTAATGTAGTATCTTGTGCTCTCTACATGGGACTGGCTAAAAGTATTAAGTGCACTTGGAGTGGATTAAATCACCTGAGTAGCAGGGTAGCTTTTGTGGGTTTAGAGGGTAGATATGTAAATAAGCCTTTTATGTTTTCATGTAATTAATAAACAGGGAGAGCTGGAATCCAGCTGGAACTCTGGGGCTCCATGTTTTGTAAATACTGTGCAGAAAGCAAAGATAAAGTATCAGTGGTCTCCAAAACAACACAGAATCAGGTTATCTTGTGCATTCATCACAATCTGCCCTCCAGTGATGTACCCACAACAGACTTCCTTTCAGATCAGAAAGTACCTCCATAACACTGTGATAAAAGTGGATTAATGGTGGATAAATAAAGAAGACTCCTAGAAAGCAGACTGACTTATTAGGATGTACTTTCAGCAGGCAAAATCCCCTTTTCCATGTCCTACCTCTTCCATTCATTGCTGTCCAGATCACAGCTGCTGGACATTAGGTTAGGTTAGGTTTCCATTCCTCACAGTATGAGAAATGCCTGAAAAAGAACCAAAAAGATCCTCAAATACACTTCTGTCCTCTCAGCCCACAGACAGGAGGCAACATTCTCTTTCTTAATGGTGTAAAAATAGGAAAATGTTAAGAAAAAAGAATGTACCAACACAAAGTTTCCCCAGCATCACACATAGTATTGTGATATCACCTGGTATAAATTCAGTTTCACCAGGGCCTGTATAGCAGAAGAGAATCTTTGTTGTGATATATATCATGATCAGTATCTTCCACTCAGCTGTTTCTCACAGTGTGCAGGACCAGTTCTTCCATCCACTCCCACTCCTTGTAGCTTCTTTGGCTTTCTGCAGTTTTATCGTGTATCCTATTAAGGTCTAAAGGAATAAAGAGAAATACTAACACGACCACAACATTCAGCTTCACACCACTGCTCATCTCATTTGAGACTGTAAAGGCTCCAAGAAGCCACAGAGTTTTCCAGGCATATCTGACCTGGGTTTAGTATCTGCAGCAGGGGAGATGTAGGTCATGCTGAGTGGCCTAGAAAAAATTGTCAGGCATTTCTGAAAAATAGATGTTCAGACTAGGAGTTTCTGTGGCAAATGTCACCAAAACACTGTGTGGGGCACCTTCTTATTTCTTTGAGAGCAGTGGTTGAGAAGTACTGGTTTTAGTCACTAAAGCAGTACTAAGAACACCAAATATTTTGGCTTTTTGAAGTGATTCTCATATAATTATTCTCTGCACATTAAAACCTCAGAAGAAATACATTGTTAATGCACCAAATAAAATTAATACATAATTAAAATACATTTTACATTGTCAGAAGATAATACCTGAAAGTATTTTCCTAAGTTTACTCTTGACATGCACTTTTAATAAGGGAGTTATAAATTATTTGTTTTCAAGTGAATGGCATTTTTAGGGTGTTGCACTTGAAACTACATTGTGTAATGAGAAAGACCTTACTTTCCACTTAGGTCCACAGGATTTATACTGGATGGTTTCCCTCGGACTTTAGATGAAGTCATGTACTTGTTAGAAAATGGCCTCTGCCCTGATGTTGTGGTTCACATCCAAGTAGAAGAAAGTGACGTTATTGACCGTCTCGTTCCTCCACGGCTGAAAAAATGGCAAGAGAGACGCAAGAAGAAAATGGAACATAAAAAGAAACTGAAAGACCTGAAAGCAAAAATAAGGGTAAGTTTTCAGCAGCAAGTACTTTCCTGGAAGTAATTTCACCAGCAGAGGTCTGAGCACAGATGCTAAACCTCCCAGTGAAGAGCATCCAGAGACGAGGAGACAGCCTCACACATTCACAGCATTCCTAGATTTACCATAGGAACCAAAAAATCATTTAAGGCTCTTTTCCTGTGCAATTAATTCATGCAGGAGCTCAGCTATCTCCCAGCCAGTCTGACAGAATGCCAGGCATCTGGGAAATCCTGGGCAAAAAGCAGAGTGAATACGGCCAATAAAAAAAAATGTAAGCCCACAGCTCCTGCTTGTTGCTCTTGTTGCATCCCAGATTCCTTGAGCATGGGCTGGGGGGTCCATCTGCACCTCCCTCAGGCTGCCTGCACAGCTGCTGTGTGGTGTCTGTGCCTCTGAATCCAACCAGGATACTCTGCACAGCAATGTAGGAGCTGTTGCAGCTGCACAGCCTGTGTTGGAACAGAGCTGTGCCTGCTGCTGAACGGGTTACAAGTCACCTGGAACTTCTCTGCAGACACCTCCCACCAGCACAGGCAGGGTATGTGCCAGGTTCCTAACTTTCTGTAAGTTAGATAGAAGTGCTTCACATATAGCATCAGAAAAGGTCTGAGCAGCTGACACAGAAGTTAATACAGCAGAATCTGGGACAAGGCTCATGCAGAAAAGTGGTAAGTTTTCTGAACTGTTTGTGCCAGATGTTGGCTCTGAGAATGCCCATAATCTAGAAGAGTTAAAGTATGTTTTCAGTGTAGTCCTTCCTGATGCAAGCTGGCAGTTGTGCTAGAGAAGATGCATTCTAGGGACCAGCCCACCTTGCTGTTCTAAGCTCACCCTGTAAATAGTTAACTCTGATAATTCTAGTGGCAAAAACCCTCACATTAAAGCATTTCCTCCTCATGTCTGCCCTCCTCCAGTTTTCATCCATTCCCCCTTGTCCTCTCCCTCCCTGCCCTTGTCCCAAGCCCCTCCCCAGCTTTCCTGGAGCCCCTTCAGGCACTGGAAGGTGCTCTAAGGTCTCCCTGGAGCCTTCTCTTCTCCAGGCTGAACAGCCCAACTCTCCCAGCCTGTCTCCAGAGCAGAGCTGCTCCAGCCCAAGGATCATCTCTGTGGCCTCCTCTGGACTCTCTCCAACAGCTCCATGTCCTTCTTATTTTGGAGCCCCCAGCTCTGGGGGCTCCAGAGCTGGGCACAGTTCTCCAGGTGGGGTCTCACCAGAGCAGAGCAGAGGAGACAATCCCCTCCCTGGCCCTGCTGCTCATTCTTCTTTTGCTGCAGCCCAGGACTCAGGTGGTTTCTGGGCTCCAACTCATGGTGCTGACTCATGTTGAGCTTTGATTGAATCAATTAGCCATCAGTTATTTGACATGTTTCTACTGAGTATGTAGGGGGGTCTATATTTCAAATGTTTATAACTTGGTCAAAATTGGGCAGTTCTAAATAGGCATAGGAAGCAACACACATTTAATATTCTCCTCAGTCACCCCTTTACTAAATGGCAGAAATCACCCATAAGTTTAGGAACTCTGTAGCTCACCAAGAAAAATCTCATGTTTTCAGTGTGATCAGAATCACAGTCTTTTTTTCTCTGCTAATCTCAGTCTCAGAAGTTGCCAAGTTAGTTTGACTAAAATTTACTTACATGTTCAGCTAGTAGAGAGGCATATCCAAACTGCAGAAGTTCAAGCTGCACACATAGTATTTTTTAACACTAGAAGCAATTAGAAACAGAGTTTTAAGGTGGAAAGAACAAGATTAATTCTAGGCTACATTACCAGTTCTCAGTCTTCTTACATCTATTTTTCACCAACAGGAAGAGAAGATGGCTAGAAGAAGGGAAGAACTTTTAGCAGAACAAAAGCAAAAGAAGCAGGAGGTAAGAAAACTAATTAAGATTTTAAATACAAGTGTTTGCATTAATGTCTTAGAAATGTCTAGAGCTTTAAGTCACAGAGTTTTCAGGGCAATGCAGAGTAGCAAAAATGTGATAAAACTGTCAGAAACTTCTACTTTCAAAAATAATTTGACATGATGTTTGAATTGTTTGAGAAACTATTGATGTATAAGCCCTAAAAGCAATGTGATAAGAATTCTCACTAAGCAAAATACTTATGAATGTCTTTAATGCATCTAATTTGTAAGCATAAGAGTAGCCCCACTAATTGCAACCAGGCATGTGTTTCAAGTACCCTGTCAAATCCAGGGTTAATCCAGAATAAGATTGTACCAGGATTTCTTCCCCAACTCAATTACAAAGTATCTTTATTAATGTGTTACTTGTCAACTGCCCTTTCAGCCAACAAGCTTGTTTGTTACAAAATCCTGGCAAACTACAATCCTGGGTGTGAAAAAAATACTCCTCTTACCAAACTCAGTGCAGCACTTCAGTTTTTAAGCACTCTTGGAACTGGCCCAATGCTTCAGTGTCTAGGCAATATCTCTATGTTTTCTTCTGAAATACAAATCTAGATTTTTGCTTAAGATACAGGATATTCCCAAAAAGAGGTTTTGTTGAATTAATGATTTTTCTAATTAAAAAAGAGACAGGGATACCAGATGTTCCTGCAAAAAATCTGTATCATAAACACAAAAAAACCCAAAGCGTTTTGCTTTTAAAGGATTTAGAAAATGAGGGGAATGATGAGGCCTCTGAGGAGGGAGATGGGAATGAAAATGAAGATATTGAAGCTATTCTTGCAGAAGAGTTTTTTGAAGAAGAAGAAGAAGAAGAGGCTGAAGAAGAACAAGAGATTGAAGCTATTGAACGCATGCAAAATGAAACTTCGGAAAAGTATGACTCAGAAAAAGACAGTTTAGAATCTGTGCAGGTACCTATGCCACTGCTTATGTTGCTAAATTAGATGATCACATGATGCAAAAAGATTTTTTGCAGTTTTATTTGTCAAATTTTAAAGTTACAGGGCTTAAACAATCATGCTGCTGTGCTCATGGTCTAAACGTGTGAGCAAGACGGTGGGAGCTTCTCATCTCCTCCCACCCACAAGTCCTTCTCCTCAGGGCTGCTATCCAGCTCTTCTCCCCTGAGTCTGGATCTGGCGTTGTGTTGACTCAGGTCCAGAACCTTCCACTTGGCTTGTTGAACTTCATGAGGTTGGCACTGGCCCACCTCTCCAATGATTTTCTTGAAATCAGTGCAATTTCCTACAGCGAGGTAACCTCATCTCACTGCAGGTATCTGCAAGGTTAGTGCTCATGTCTCAGGCAGTGAGCAGATTGGCACCATTTGTTTACTATATACTAAGTGTCTTCAGGAGGCAACTAATAATGATTTAGCAGAAACTGTGTCCACTGATCAGAGAAAATTTACAGAAGTTAATCACAGAATGGTTTGGGTTGGAAGGGACTCCAAGACCATCCAGTCCCAACCCCCTGCATGGGCAGGGACACCTCCCACCAGCCCAGGCTGCTCCAAGCCCCATCCAACCTGCCCTTCAACACTGCCAGGGATGGGGCAGCCACAGCTTCCCTGGGCAACCTGGGCCAGGCTCTCACCACCCTCACACTCCACAATTTCCTCCTCATGTCTCACCTCAATCTCCCCTCCTCCAGTTTTCATCCATTCCCCCTTGTCCTCTCCCTCCCTGCCCTTGTCCCAAGCCCCTCCCCAAGGGAGGGACTAGACAAATAGATATCTAGACATAGATGTAACACTTGCTAAATGAATCCAACCATCCCCCAAAGTTAATTATCAGATCATCTTTTTTTTAACTAGTGTGACACTTAACAGAGGCCGGGCAATTTAAACTTAGCAGGAAAACCAGTTTTCATTTCAAATAAAATGTTACTGGTGTACAGGGACTGAGAACATGATCAAGAAATCCTTGATAGGTCACAGAAAATCTTGCTGTCACTCATTATTAAAAATCTGATCATATTTATGATTCTATTATTTAATTATGTTTTCATGAACCAGGAAGAACTGGAAAAATGGCTCATACCACAGATTGAGATCAATGGAGGAAGGAAGCCTCACATTGTCTGCTACCAAGTGTATAAGAAGCTGGGTCCTCTGGTGGAAACTCGTGGAAGCATTTTTGAGAAATGCTACCCAATAAGTTTGCCAGTTGCACAGAAGTTGCTTCTTTTCTCATATAAATTTCTCAGTTCCTTTGGTTGGTGGGATCCAGTCAAGGTAAGGTTCTTAAACAGCTGAAGAATGTTTTCAAGAAGTGATATTTTCAAAAAAATATGTATTTCACATAAAAATGCTGTAACAATAGAAATTAATACCAGATATATTAATGAAAGCTACATTAGTGAATCAAAACTACACCACTGAATACACACCAAACACAGGGAGCCTTCATGATAAAAGGTGTTAGACTTTTCAGTGCTGCAGCTAAATTCAGACTGAGAGGCATTTAGTAAAGTTTGTTGCATTAGCATTAGTGACACAATTAAAGCTGGCAGAGAATCAGGAAAAAAAAAAAAAAAGCCCAATTCTCAATGTTCCACAAAACACAAGATAACAGAGAAGGTGTTAAAGCCTTCTAGAAGCAGTGAAAGCGAACTGAAAGGATTTGGGGTTTGAATTTGGAAGAAGTCACACAGATTGTCACCAACCCTAGCAGTGGCAAAAAAGTAAATGCATGTGGTTCATCAACAATAATTCCTTGCTGTTTGAAGAGCATCAAATCTAATTCCATAGGACTTTACTGAAGATCTGGAAAGCTGAGGTCAGAAAGTGCTGATGTCTGTCCCCAGAAGTGGGCTGATGTAGTTTTAGAGGTAGCAAGTGAAATGTTTGCAGGGAAATACTTGGTTTTCAAACTAGAAATAAAAGCAGGTTGGATTGTGAGTAATTCAGAAATAATTTTAAAAAAATAAAAAACAATGAACAAAATGCAAAATCCAGGAAGTTCCTGAAGGAAACACCCTTTGGCTTTCATTTTACCATGCTAATTAATCAAGTAACTTTTATTCCCTTTTCTACAGCCATCATGTTGGGTCTTCACCTGCTCCCATCTGTGTCTCACTTGGCAATCCAAATTCTATACAGATGAGCTCTTATTACAGCCTTATTTAATCAAAATACTTACTTTAAATGTTCTTGGATCAGAATTGCCTCTTCCATGGCTGCATCAAACTGGCATCTGGTAATTTAGGGACATATTAATAGATGTAGCTGTTTCTTTTCTTCTCTCATTTCCAATCACTGAACCCCAGCTTCTATGTGCAATTCTTATCAGTCCCTACACCCTAGACCTTGCACTTTGTTCTTCCCTACATTTTTTTAATTCCATTCATTTATGCTGTAGGCTGGTTTTTACCAACCAAAAAGGACTATTCAGTTAGAAGAAAGAAGTCACAGAAAGCCATTAGATTAAATCAGAGAAGTGTGCTGACAGTGGAAATGTACTTGCTGACAATAATGAAAGGGGAATGGGATCATTTTGAGAGTATTTCAGGTTATAATAGAAATTATTTAGGAAAAGGAGTTGATTAAGGACCAGAGGGTTTCTTTGTAGGAAGGAAGATAGAGTATATGCCAATTACTTTTAGATTAAACTGGGGTGGAAGTAGTTATGCAACTGATTAGATAAGCAGAAAATAAAAGCAATGAGCTGGGGGATGAATGGGAGCAGATATATAGTGGAACACACTCCTGACAGCTTATAAATTGTGTGTAAGTGCCCTGAAATGGCTTGGAGCAGGAATAGAAACCTAAGGATCAGAGCAGGGTCTGGGAGGGTAATGCCATGCAGCAGAACAGCCCCATCCCTTCCTGTAACCACCAGATCAACTTATCTGTATATTTACTGGCTCCTTCAAAGAACACTTCCAGATTTGTGAGGGATGATCTCCCTGTACAGGAAGCTGCGTTGCCTCTTCCCCATTTGTTTTCATATATGTTCCTATAACTACCCTCCTTTTCCTTAATATATTTCAATTTACTCAATATAAGGTCAGATTTACTGGACTATGTTTGCCAAGATCCATTTTGAAGGCCTTTTATAAACATGTTCACCTTCTCAACCTTCATTCTTCCTGGCAGGAAGGCCAACATAAGCACTAGGTTCCATGTTGGCCAGTATCAGCTTCCACTGCTGAGTCCATTGTGAGGTGAATGCCATCTAGTCTGGGCAATTTTTTCCACAGATGTCAACAGTTTGTTCTAAAACACCATTTATTGACACTTTAAGGCAGCTGTCCAAGAAGAGCTGCAACAGGGACATCCATAGTGAACAGGGGCACAAGGAATTAATTTAGCATTGCTGCAATAATAACCATTTCTGCCATTAGTGCTTCTCTTCATCTCAATGATCCACCAGCACTGCAGACTGTCTGATGGGCTTGAGAAGATTTCATCAGCAGTGCAGGCATTTTACTTTTTGGGCTTGCCTTGTTATGATTTTACACTTCACCACCATGTAAGTATTGATATTATGATCTGTGTCCTTCATTTGCACACGGTTCTGCTGAATCCTACATTCTGGCATCTGCTGTGCTTTCAGTTCACAGAGGAATAAAATTATTTGCTTTATTCTTTGAAAATTAAAAAAGTAGGATGTTATGCCTCCTCGACTACACTTTCTTGATGGACAGAAGGTGTTATGGTACCACCTACTGGAAACACTGAGTATTCTATCTCTCTTCAATGTTTACCTCCTCTTTCTGTCCAAGAATTGCATATTTATGGAAGCTCCTCAGGCAGGACCAATATATTATGTCCTTATGTATGAACTTAAGAATGCTTTGATGGTTTGTTTCAGACAGTTGGTGCCTCTCTACCTGCCTATAAAGCCACTTATGTAGGATGGAGGGAGAGGGGGGCTTTGTCAAACCTAATCAGCTGCTTTCCGTTTTCTGTATGCTACAGCTAAGTGAAGGAGAGGTAATCAAGCCCCAGCACAGCCATGAAAACACAGTCTTCCCTGTCATCCATCGACAGTATATTTATTTCTTTTCAAGTAAAGAAAAGGCAGAAACATTTATGAAAAATCCCATCAAATATATTCGTCAGCCAAAACCTAAACCACCTGTGCCAGTTAGAATTGCAATCGTGGGACCTCCAAAATCTGGAAAGACTACAGGTAGGAGCCAGTCTTTTCTATAAATCTCATGACTGAAGCTGTATCTGTCATTACTGCTATTAAATATCATAAATCATTAATATTGTTGATTTTCCTGCTTTTCTTGCTGGACACAGAATCCTTTAGTTATATCCCCCAGTTCAAGAGAGACAGGGAACTGCTGGAGAGAGTCCAGGGGAGGGTGACAAAGATGCCAGGGGGGTTGGAGCATCTCCCTGCTGAGGAAAGGCTGAGGGAGCTGGGGCTGCTCAGCCTGGAGAAGAGAAGGCTGAGGGGAGACCTGATCACTGCCTACACGTGTCTGAGGGTGGGTGCAGGAGGATGGAGCCAGACTCTGCTCAGCAGTGCCCAGGGACAGGGCGAGGGGCAACGGGCACCAGCTGGAACATGGGAAGTGCCCCTGAAAGGTGGGGAGAAACTTCTTGTCTGTGAGGGTGACAGAACCCTGGGACAGGCTGCCCAGGGGGCGGTGGAGGCCCCTTCTCTGGAGAGATTCACCCCTGGATGCAGCCCTTTGGGATGCGCTCCAGGGGATCCTGCTGGAGTGGGGTGGGACTGGATGATCTCTGGAGGTCCCTTCCAGCCTTGACAGTTCTGTGGTTCTGGGATCAGTGAGCTGCTGAGACTAAGGACATACTTTGACAGACTGTTAGGTTGTGATGTTGCTCACCTAAAAGTTACGTGTGGAAATCCAAATGTTTTGCAGTTGCCAAGAAGTTTGCAAGTGTGTACGGGCTCCTGCGCCTGAGCATGGGGGACGCCATCCGGCTGGTGCTGAGCAGCCAGCCAGGCACTCAGCTGGCCCTCAGGCTGCAGCAGCACCTCCACAAAGGACTGACTGTGCCTGATGAACTGGCCATCCAGGCTCTAGATGTGGCTATGATGAACCACGTGTGTAATACCACTGGGTAAGAGTTTTCCTTCCAGTAAATCCAAGTAACATGCTTTAGGAAGGGTACCTTTTTTCGGACAATGAGCCAGTATTTCCTATTATCCTTTGAGAACCACCATTTTATCTCTTACACCAATTCCAGTACCAACCTGGGCACATCTGTTTCTGTTTGGTCATGCAGACTGGTTCAGTACTCAAGGTTTTTTCTAGTTTTAACAACTGAAGCTGTTAAGGAGGAACTGAAACCAGTGAGTCTTTCCACCCCATTCATATGTGATCCTCATTTCCTAGACTCCTTCTCCACCACTGAAACACCTTCCAAACTCTTCAGACATAAAAAGCTCATGACTGTGATTTCATGACATCCAACTCCTCTCCCCAAAAAGAATTTTTACAGGGAAAGGCAATTCTGGAATAATTTCTGAAAATTATTTGAGCTTGAGCTCAGAATTATTTCAGCTTTTCTTTCATGTTAAATACTGGAATAGTGTTCCAGTATATTTGACCCCAGTATTGCCTAATATGTGAAAAGCATTTTTAAAAAACATCTTGCAAATCATTTTCCTTTTCACTTTGAAAGTGCTCCTTCCAATCCATATGGATATTTCCCATAGTGCTAATTATTTTTCTGAAGGATTGATGTGTCAGAATTTTGAAGTCCACCATTTTTATAAGTCAGATCCATCTGTTTGCATTCCTTACATTCCTTCTGCCCTTTGTACGTTTTTAGGAGTGAAGACTACATCTATCAAGTCACAGAAGAGAAAAATTCATGGCACAGCTGTAGACTTTTTAATGCTGAATTAGAAACTAACTTCTTAGGAAAAGTGTCTTTCTTTTCCTGTTTGTATGCAGAGTTGTAATTGATGGATATCCTGTAACAAGAAAACAAGTGAACCTCTTGGAATCAGCCAGGATAATTCCAGTGAAAATCTTTGAATTAGATATGGATGCAAAGGAAGTGTTCAGAAGAGCACTGCAGGATAAGGAAACCACAGACAGGTAGTGATGTTCCCTGATAATAGTGGTTTTATCCCCAGAGGAGGCCACAGAGATGATCCTTGGGCTGGACCAGCTCTGCTCTGGAGCCAGGCTGGGAGAGTTGGGGTGTTCAGCCTGGAGAAGAGAAGGCTCCAGGGAGACCTTAGAGCACCTTCCAGGGCCTGAAGGGGCTCCAGGAAAGCTGGGGAGGGGCTTGGGACAAGGGCAGGGAGGGAGAGGACAAGAGGGAATGGATGAAAACTCGAGGAGGGGAGATTGAGGTGAGACATGAGGAGGGAATTGTGGAGTGTGAGGGTGGTGAGAGCCTGGCCCAGGTTGCCCAGGGAAGCTGTGGCTGCCCCATCCCTGGCAGTGTTGAAGGGCAGGTTGGATGGGGCTTGGAGCAACCTGGGCTGGTGGGAGGTGTCCCTGCCCATGCAGGGGGTTGGGACTGGATGGGCTTGAAGGTCCCTTCCAACGCAAACCATTCTGTGATTCTGTGATTCTGTTGTCATTTCTCTGTTCATGTGCCTCAGTGCTGGGCCCAAAGAGACTGGCCCTGAGCTGGTGCAGAACCCAGCTGTCTCCAAACTCCTCATATAAAAAGACACAGGCACCAGTCTCTCAATGTTCTCATGCTTTGATTTGCATAGAGCAGAAACAGAGACATAGGAGGCCAGAGGAATGGGTGGCATGTTCTGCCCAGATCCCCTGACTGCACAACTCAGATCACAGAGGTGCAATGCTGGGCACCCACTGCTTGGTTTAGTTGATTTTCATGAAACCAAACATCAGAAATGCTAGCAGTTCTCTCTGCTGCTGAAGTTTTTGATTCATCTATTCAACCATTATCATCATAAGGGAAACTGATGCTTCATCTAATAGGCTTTTATGTCTTCACTGGAGTTCTTTTTAGAAGATGGAAACAATGTACATTTTCACAATGTGTACAATTAATGAGTTACTCATCTAAGCTTTTCAATTCAGCTTGCTCCCTTCTCTTTGTTTTTCAAAGGAGATAAATATTCTCTTAGAAGAGCTGTTGGTTGTTTTTGAGGAAGAGCAGTAAGTAGTTTATAAATGGACAGAGAATTAAAAAGAACAGAACATTCACCTTCAAATCAAATTGTGTAAGAACCTGGTTCTCATTAGAGAAAGTGTTTCTGAGAAGTCCCAGATAGCTTAGGGCCTTACTGCATGTCTCTTCCATTTTGTCCTTCTTTTTATCAAGCAGTCAGTACAATGCTTACTTGTTTACTGAAAGACCTAAAGACAATTTGCATTGCGAAAAATTAAATTAATGCTGTCTTTTTGAAAGTATTTACTTGAAACTTCTCATTTTAAATACCAAACTAATTACATTTCATAAACACAAATCAAATGTGCAGTATCAGAGATTTCTGAAAGGTACAAGAGATAAAATAATCCTATTAAAGCAGAAGTTTATCCTTTTTTTTTTTTTTTTGGCATCATTTAAATTAAGAACCAGAACTGGAAATGCTTTTATTTTCTAGTCAAAATATCTCTTCTAGTCTTGCTTAACATTTTCAGATGTCAGATAAATTAATTTCATTTATGTAAATATGACAGGCAGTTTTCAAAATATATCAAGGTATTACAGCTTCTTGATTTCAAACAACAGCATAATTCAAAATTAACCCTGTTTTCCAGAAACAATTCACTTCCATTTTAAACAGCCTTTTTGTTTAGGGTACCATTTGATGGGGGATTGGTTGTGTGTGTCAGTTAATATGGGCTGATACCTTCAAAACCCTTCGCAAAATTCTCGAGTTGGATTTGGGACATAAAGAGCAAAAGTTTTGTTCTTTGTTTCTGAACATACCTGCCTGATCAGAAGGATGCTGCTTCTTATATTTAACTGGTCATCTTCTTAATCAGGAAGTTGGATTTCTCAAATATGTTCTGCAGTTTCAAATAAGCAGAATTTTGTAAAATGGGCTTCAAGCGAACTCCTGAATTCCCACCGGAAATTCACTGAGATGATCTAATCTTCTGACTCACATGAACTCAGTGGGTTTTTTTCCTTGTCTGCAGACCTCCCTACCCTCAACACGACAGCTCACAGATTCTAGCTATTAAAAATTCCTGCTATAAAGAGCAAGTTGAAGCCATCAGGACTTACTATAAGGAGGAGCATCAGAACTGGTGTGTGATCAATGCCTTTCGGAGCAAGTGGTGGATGTGGAACAAAGTACAGCAGGAGGTTCAAAAGGTCATTAAAAAAATCCAGATATACCTGGAGAGAATAAGAGAAGGTAAAGTTTCTTGGAATAATCTTCATTTCTTTAAGAAGCTGCAATGTAAGGAGAGCATTTCCACTTCAACTAGCTTTGGGTGAAGCTAATTCTTGGGCACAGATGTAGCCTCAAGCTCTTCCACCTCATCTGCAGGGATCTTGACAAGATCTCTTGAGGAGAGCAAAACCAAAGCCAAGCACAGGACACAGGCCTTCCTCCAAAGAGCAGTGTGATGGAACACAGCAGAAAGGAGTCTGAGGTCTCATGGTCCTTGGCAGATTCCTCAGCATTGGGTGATGAATCACAGAGGGTCCCCCGAGAGTTAAGGGGACCTGTGACTTGCAACTTCACTTCAGTGTCAGTGGAGGAAGAGAGAAGGAGAGGGAAAATGTGAATTAGAAGCTCAGAAATCAGGTTAACCATGCCATCTGATTTCTGTGCTGTGGGAGGAAAACCCCTTTAGTCTAAAATGACACAATTCCCACTTGAACTGTTGTGTGTCAGCACTGATCAGGATTAAATCTGCCTTCTAAATCTGCCTGTTCAGTTTAACTAGGATTCCTCTGAATGACAAACAAACTTCCTAGACTTATATCCACCTCTTGGTTTTAACCTTTACTGGCTCACTGGCTACATACACCCTTCTTTAAAAATTGCAGTCATGAGCCAAAAGAAAAAATGTTAAATCCATCTTTTTCACATCCAACTTAAAAAGCACAGTTTTTAAAGAGTTTGGGCTTTGCATAGCATTTTATTCAAGATTTTGGATATACTTCATTAAGATAAACTGTAGCATTTGCAAGACATGGATGAATAAAGGGGGTTGCTTTCATGAGACCTTGTCCTCTTCTTTCACCAATTTAAAGAAAAATAAACAGCTGAAATGTTCCCTAGTAACACAAAGGAGTGAAACAATAATCATAAATAGAACTGTCCCAGGGAAAACACCTAAGTTAAGCATGCAGAGTATCACACATAATTAATAAGTATTGTATTTCTTAAATGCTAGGAAAACATTATTACAATTAATTGGTAAAATGGGTTGCTACTCCATTTTCATATCAGTAGAAACTGCTATTTTAATTCTCACTATTTCAAATCATTGACACGTGCTGAATTACAGTCTCCTCTGAACTGTCATGTTTCTGAATAGAGATGTTGGGTGTTTCTGTGTCTCTCATTACTAAACCACTAATTGCTGTTATTGGCAGGGAAAGCAGCTGCCATTGCTGATTTATGCATCACTCCCCACGAGCTGCAGCAGAGGCTGGGGGAGTTTGGCCACTACTGTCCTGTCAGCCTTGCAGAAAAGGGTGAACTGGTTGACTGCTCCACAACCTTGTCTCTGCAGTTTGCTGCAGAATTCCGAGGACATTATTACAAAATGGCTTCCCAGGCAGAACTGGATGTAAGTGTCAAAAACCAGGCCAGGAGGGGGTTACAGGAACAGGGGACATTTAGATTCTCTGATTGTACAGAGGAACGAGCAACATGTCGTTTGAATTAGATGAAGTGATGTTAGTGGTCAAGTTTTTTCAAGGGTATTGGCCTCTTCTCCCTGGTGACCAGCAACAGGACCAGAGGAAATGGGGTCAAGTTGCACCAGGGGAGATTCAGGCTGGATATTAGGAAAAATTCCTTCACAGAAGGAGTGGGGAGGCCTTGGAACAGGCTGCCCAGGGAGGTGGAGGCACCAGCCCTGGAGGGGTTCAAAAAATGGGTGGACGTGGTGCCTTGGGAGATGGTTTAGTGGTCAGGGGCTGCAGGGCTGATGGTTGGACCTCATGATCTTGAGGGTGTTTTCCAGCCTTGATGATTCTGTGATTCATTTTGCTGCTGCTGTCAAACATCCAGGCAGACAAAATGCAGCAGAGTCCCTTCAAACCCAAGATCCTCTTACAAATTGTCATGGAGGAAACACTCTGTTTAGAACAACCATTTCCTCCCTTTCTCCACCTGTTTTCAGGAGACTGAGGGCAGAGAGTGGCTGATGGTAGCAATGGATAGGATGGATGGTGGGCAGACAGGGGTGACTTCAACTGAGAGTGGGGTGGAAAAGAACTTACTTGAGAGAAGCAGCAGTGCCAGCACACAGAGGTGTTGTAGAAAGTATCTAAATGGCACGTGCCAGTCCCCTGGGCTTTGACTCACAGTCTTCTTTCATTATAAAAACATTTTATTTCCTTTTTTGCAGAAATTCCTGAGCACACCAGAGGTTTATGTACCACCACTGGCACCTCACCCTCTCCCACCTGCAGATATGCTTCCAAAGAAACTGTCTGAAGAGGAAGGGAAGGCCTTACTCCCTGAAAGTGTTGAAATGAAGGGATACTGTCCAGTCACTTACCTAGATGGAAAACTGAGGTACATCTCTGCCACTTCCATAATCTGAATTACAGACTGTGTGTCCTATGTGAACACAGCAATGAGGAAATACTTTCAAAGTGCTTCCTAACAGAATGGCTACCAAGGTGGTGAAGGGGCTGGAGAACAAGTTCTGTGAGAAGAGGCTGAGGGAACTGGGGGTGTTTAATTTGGAGAAGAGGAGGCTGAGGGGAGACCTCATTGCCCTCTGCAGCTGCCTGAAAGGAGGGTGCAGGGAGGTGGGAGTTGGGCTCTGCTCCCAAGTGAATAATGACAGGAGCAGAGGAAATGGCCTGAAGCTGCACCAGGGGAGGGTTAGACTGGATATTGGGAAGGATTTCTATCCTGAAAAAGTGGTCAGGCACTGGAACAGCTGCCCAGGGAGGTGGTGGAGTCACCATCCCTGGAGGTGTTTAAAAACTGAGTAGATGAGGCACTTGAGGACATGCTCTAGTGGGCTTTTTTTTTTTTTTGTGGGGTTGAGGGTTGACAGTTGGTCATAGTGATCTGAGAGATCTTTTCCAACCATGACAATTCCCTGATTCTGTGAAGACTGTTCAGGGTTTGGAGAGGAAAAGCAATTCCAACTCCCTATGCTGTGCCTTTGGAAAGCAATGTAAAATCCCTTCTTAAACTCATCCAGCTACAGGTTCTACAAGGCTCTGTGCTGGCTTGCTGTCTTGAGATGAGGACTGCTCAGATACAGTTTGACTTTTCCCTGGCATAAGTCTTCAAAAGTTGAAACAAATCCCACAAAATCCTTAGCAGAGGCAAAACTGCCTAGTATGATTTTTACAAGAGATCCTTAAGGCTCCCCCAGGAAGTCCCACTGATTTCCTCAGTGTGCAGGAAACTCTCATCAAGATAAACAGTCACAGTCAATTTTATCCTGTCCCTTCTTCCTCTGCTGTACAACTACAATTTTAACTAGAGGAGCTCTAAAGCAGCACTAGAAAAGCCCCTTAACAAGCAGATTTTGAGACTGAGACTGTCAGATTTTGAGCCTTGTAACTGTCAGTCATGTGGTAAAAACTTGGATGATCCAATTGCTACTTTTCTGCAGTCCTTACACTTGCTACATTACCAAAAAGCTCCCAGTAGCTCAGGAGTTTGCACAAATGATGTGGTTTATTTTAAATTTCTTGTGAATTAATAGTCTTTCCTACTCTGTCCCTTCAGATATGAAGCCTTGGTGACTGGCAACACTAAGTATGCAGCAAAATATCAAGAGAAGATATATATTTTTGAAAGTGAAGAAAAACTCCAGAAGTTTATGAGGTGAATATACTAACTGCATTTTAATCTTTCATCCTGTCATGGGTTAAACACCTTCAAAGTGCTTACTTTTTCTCTGGTCAGGTTACCAGAGAAGTACTGGAACCTGAAGCTTCCACATAAACTCCCTCCACCAAAGGAGCCAAAGCTGCTCACTGCACTTCCCATGCTTGGATACCTGGAACAGGCCAGTTTCTGCTTTTCCATTTTAAAACATGACTTTGCAATGCAGAGTAGATCACACTCAGTCAGCTTAATTTGTAATAAGTGTTTGAGGTTTACTAATGGAATTCAGTTGAAAACTGTGTACTTAAAATCAAGAGGAACTTTTAAAAGGCTTCAAAATAAAATCATAGAAGGGTTTGGGTTGGAAGGGACCTTCAAGATCATCCAGTCCCAACCCCCTGCATGGGCAGGGACACCTCCCACCAGCCCAGGTTGCTCCCAGCCCCATCCAACCTGCCCTTCAACACTGCCAGGGATGGGGCAGCCACAGCTTCCCTGGGCAACCTGGGCCAGGCTCTCACCACCCTCACACTCCACAATTCCCTCCTCATGTCTCACCTCAATCTCCCCTCCTCCAGTTTTCATCCATTCCCCCTTGTCCTCTCACTACAAGCCCTTCAAAAACCACCCCCAGCTTTCCTGATATTTGTAGCTTTAACAGAAGAAATACAAGTAAGACTATCAGAGGGGAAATAATGAACTACAAAATTATATGATGGTTTTTCTGACTCTTTTGTTACACATGTAAAGATTGCATTTTGCTTTGATTTTTAACACTAAGACAGACACAGGCCTGTCTGAAATCATTTAAGGACAGCTGGTTGCACTTCTGAGACATGTCTATGAAATAATAAATGATTCATGGTCACTTCCCTCCCTATTTCCTACTATTCCATATCTCCTAGAATTCACCAACTGAGACACCATCTTGTATCACTAGATTTGCCTGATAACAGGATAAGGCTTTGAATATATTTTTTATTCTAGATTTCTGTACTGGTCATCTAAACCTGTTTTCTTTCTCTAGGGAGTAGCAACTGCTCTAATAAGAGCCCTGACAGATGTTGGCTGCTTGAAGCCCAAGTATCCATTCCTAAGTGTAAGAAAAACTGCTCTGCTCTTTGTGGCCTGGCACTTAAAAGGTAACATAAAACAATATGCTCTAAAAATACTGAGTTATACAAATAGAGTAAATCACCTGACACAACATTAAGAAAACTTTACAAATGGGTGATCATGTCCAACTTGGGAAGATACTATTATCTATTGATTTAAGTACACACTGCCAAGTTTCTTGGAAATGTGTAAGGACCAGGGAGGAAAATAAGGTGAATGGAACAGGGCAAGTGACCCCTCACCAGTCATGAGACTTTAATGACATTTTATCACCAGCACTTGTCCCTATTCCAGAAAAGCCCTTCTTTTGCCCAGAGTACACATACACTAAATAACACAGTACAAAAGAACAGATTTCCATGCAGGTTTAATTAGGTTTTTACATTTTTTACCAGAGAGAGAAAAAAGATATAATGTTATTTATCAGTCTGCTTATTTGTGCAATTATCTGGGAAGTCACAGTATTGATGTGATTTACAGTATTGGTATGTTGATGATTTTTTACTTATTTTTTTATTTCATTGACCACCTTACATTTCCAGAACAAAGATGAACAGTCCAAAATTAAAATTAGGTGGTTTGTACTCACAAAATTATGAGAATATAAAGCATCTCATGGAGCCAGCAGAGGTTAGGACTTACCCCTCCACTGAAGGTTGTTCAAGCTTTGTCTCCTGTGTAACATCTGCTATTTTTTAGAATTGTTTTTTCCTTGCTTTTTTTCCTGTTTGCAGCCCAAGATAGTTGTAGCTAATATCTTTAATAGTTTGCTGTCAGCCCAACCAGTGCCAGCTTCCAGGACTCCAACAGCCTGGTCTGCAGCTCTGCTGTAGCTTCAGTCTGGTTTCCAGTACTGCTGGAGATGTCTGGAGCAAAACTGCCACTTCCTCAACCCACCAGTTGGGCTTTTTATAAGTGGGTGAACATGACCTTGCCTCTTGTCATTTTACATTTTTACTGACTCTTTTAGACAACGGCAATCTTTCTTACTGATCTCAAGTTCTTCACATCCTGTGTTCCCTCATGCAGTTTCCAGAGCCCTCCAGAACTTTCTTGAACTAGCACAGATTTTTGCTAGCACAGCTGAGCTAAGGGAGACCCCTGAATAAGCCCCTGTATAAATGTACAGCTCTTAAGCCAGCAAAACTGCTTTTATACTGTAGTTTGTTCCAACACAAAGGCTGCTTTCATTCTGTTGTTAGCACAGCTTTGTTAACATCACAATGCCCACACTAGGGGTGCTTAGCTCATATTTTGCCTCATTAAATCATTATGAAAACTGGATGATGAACTGGAAAGGTTCTGTAAGTACATAGAGCTCTTCTTATGCAGGGACAAACAGTTTCATAGAATCACTGAGTAGTGGGGTTGGCAGGGACCTCTGGAGATCATCTCATCCAACCCCTGCCAGAACAGGATCCCCTAGAGTAGATCCCACAGGAACACAGCCAGGTGGGGCTGGAATGTCTGCAGGGATGGAGACTCCACAGCCTCCCTGGGCAGCCTGGCCCAGGGCTCTGGGACCCTCACACTCAAGAAGGGTTTCCTCATCTCCAGCTTCAACCTCCTGGGCCCCAGTTTGTGCCCATTGCCCCTTGTCCTGTCCCTGGACACCCCTGAGCAGAGTCTGGCCCATCCTCCTGACACCCCCTGCAGATATTGAGCAGCACTGAGCAGATCCCCCCTCAGCCTCCTTTTCTCCAGCTGAACAGCCCCAGCTCTCCCAGCCTTTCCTCACAGGCAGATGCTCCAGCCCCTGCAGCATCTCAGTGCCCTGTGCTGGGCTCTCCCCAGTAGTTCTTGTCCTTCTGGAACTGGGGAGCCCAGACCTGCCCCCAGGGCTGCAGGGGAGGCCTCCCCAGGGCAGAGCAGAGGGGCAGGAGAACCTCCCTGACCTGCTGGACATGCTCCTCTCAGTGCCCCCCAGGAATCCAGAAAAACAAGTTTTCTTCATCTAATACTTAGTATCATCTACTGCTTCCAACTTTAAGAGACAGCATTTCAGAACCCTGAACAATCTCCTTTGCAAATGCATTATTTATAGTTGTCTCTTTTCACAGAAGTCACACTGCCCTTGATCAAAAACTTGATCAAACTGTGTCAACTTGTGGTCCCTTGGAAATGTTTTTACATCCTCTTTCTACCTGAAGTAAAACTTTCTCATCTTCAACTTATGTGACTCTCTGATGTCCCCTGCACATGGGGGACAAGAAGCAGTGGTTTAGTTGCTCCTGTGGCTTTTCTAACAGAAATACTGGATTGCTTTCAGTATCTGAGAAGGTAGTTAATCAATCATAAATGCAGGGAGATTTTACTCCTGGAAAAAAAGAGTAGGGAGCCATACATCACTGGAGTGATTTAGTGCTCTTCAAACTTGTCTCCTGTGAGAGCTCTACCTACAGCTACACTTGGAAGATCCCTCAGAAGCTGTTAAATGTCTACAACTTAAAGCTAGTGGGCTGGAGTAGCTCACAGCACAGGCCTTCAGGCTGCCCAGCTTTTGTCATGGGATGCAAAGTCCCTTCTACAGGGTTGGCTGTCTGAAATCACTGCTTCCCCTGTTCCTCAGGGTAACAATTAGAATAACAGATAATATTCTGAGGACTGGCATGCAATAGTAATGTACAGCAAATTGCAGCTGAGGGCTGAGCTAGGAAGGGAAAGAAACAAAACTATCTCCTTGGTGAAGTTCTTGTCCTTCATGTTTCCCTCCTCCTCTGGCAATCAGAGAAGTGACAGCTCTAGGTGACACCTAGGTGACAGCTCTAGGTGACATCTAGGTGACAGCTCTAGGTGATATCTAGGTGACAGCTCTAGGTGACAGCTCTAGGTGACATCTAGGTGACAGCTCTAGGTGACAGCTCTAGGCGACAGCTCTAGGTGATATCTAGGTGACAGCTCTAGGTGACATCTAGGTGACAGCTCTAGGTGACATCTAGG